GTATATGACATAAAAAACGATATGAACTGACCGACGCTGGTTCGTATTGATTCCAGACGACGTTTCGAAAGTCATTTCACTCTGCCCGAAAGTCGGGATGTGAAAAGGGTGGGAAGACACTTATTCTCCTGGGGTTGTTGCGATGAGGTCCCATCACGCCTTATTGTACGGCGTTACAGAACGTTAAAAGTTGCTGATGTTACAAGATTAGATAAAGTGAAGGTGAAGGCCTAAATATTTCACACTTATGCAAATGCACGCAAAGCTTTATTCAAATTAGAAGCAGTAATGTTGGTTTCGTTTATACTTAATGAGGATTGAGGAATTGTAGCAGTATTGCGAAAATTAGTTTCGAACAACAACACCCGAACAAAATTCGGCATTTACGCAATGTTCTCTCAATAAACAAGCCCTTTTATTATAAAACTTGTGAAAGGAATATGGTATTTGAGATGGGTAATAATTGTCAATGAGCTCATAAAGATTTATACCAGAGTTAAATAAGATACTTATTTTGTAAATATCTTATGTAAATAAGACGATCATTTAGAGGTGACATCGGACGTTATCCGACCAGAAAAGGAGCGCTGTCGGTATAATGCGCTGCTAAAACACAGTTCCGTGGCCAAAGCCGCGAGCATCCGAGGCCGTCGTAGTTCAGGGCAACTTCGTGACAGCTTTCGTAGCTGACGGACATAGCTTGTTGGCAGAGGAAGCGCCAACGTTTGGGCGAGGAGCTGGCCGGCGATGTTTTGATGGACCCTAGACAAGACTGACGTCACCACTTCTACTTTCAGCTAGTCAACGTTCAAGGTTCATCCAGTTTAATGCGCAGATCAGAGCCCAACAAAACCATTTCTACGATAATTTTGATATGAGATCGGATGCAATAAACAAATAAAATACCGTAAAAATGCACAAATATAAGAAGTCGCTCAAATAAGCGGCTGAATAAAAAAAAACTAAGACAAAAATTATTGATAAAACCCAGGCACCTTTTACCCTGATTTGATCGTTGACATTGGTTTGCACGGCACCCGTTATTAGAATGCCGTTTGTTCAGCCGTCAAACACAAAAATGTTTCGCCAGGAGATAGGCCAAATAGCGTGAATGTCTTACTAATCGATAGCACGATAAATACGATATTTGTGGCAAATAATTTATTTTTCAGCTACCATGCAAAATTATCTCCATTGTAAAGTTAGACAAGTTGCTTGCAATACTTTGCTGACACTGAATGCTTCACTTACCTGAAGGGCGATGTCACGACGGCAAATTTTTCCATCCTTATCACCGTTGCTATTTGCTTTTAATTGGATGGAACTTAGTTACTGCTGCTTCAATAAACGTCCTTAACTTTTGAGCAGTTTGCAGATGATGATGTTATTCCAATTGAAGCACCGCAGCGACCGAGAAACCCTAGCTATTGCACGCAAACCCTACAAAACTAAACCACTCGTCCTCTCAATCCCTACAATCTCACACTTGACAACTTTTCCACTCAATCTATCACACCCAACACTTCAGCCGACCGTCCTCCACTATTGCAATGCCCACTACGAGCTGCACCGTGCACCGTGCATGCACTGCGGGCGCCGACGCTGCTAGTCAGGTCTGAGTCGCTCACTGGGCCGGGGCTGTCCCTAGGTAACACCCGGCGACTGCAGGGCTGTAACGGGAGGTTACCCCGCGCCCCGACGCAAACATGCCAGCCGATGGCCGCCACTCATGGTAGCAATCGTGAGACAGGACTGCACGGTGTCAATACGTGCAACAAAGGTGCAGGACGGCCGTCACGGTCAACGGTCGGGCATGGCGGCGGGGGGGGGGGGGGGTAACAAGGTCAGACTGGTATTGAAACATGCAAGCAATGCAGGAATGGACTGGCGACCTGGCATTGATGTGGAAAACATATTGGTGTAAGATTGAATTGCCTAGTGAATGTTACGGGGCACTTAAGAGTCGTGGATAAATAATTCAGATTACGGATGGACTATTCGCTGAACATGCACTTGCAGCGTGCATCAAATACAAATAGCTAAATACTTACCTGTATATAAACATTTAGCGCGAAACGTCGAGCTGTGTTCAATGCTTGCTAAGGAGTCATGCAATTACTTACGCTACAGCGTATTGTGCGTCGTATTTCATATTGTAAGCAGAGTGAAATGGGCACAACAGCAACTGTTCCGGCACTTGTAGTCCTTGTGAGACATTCACTAGTCCCACTCTTCCCGTGCGCGACAATCACCGACTCTCTCTCTCTCTCTCTCTCTCTCTCTCTCTCTCTCTCTCTCTCTCTCTCTCTCTCTCTCTCTCTCTCTCTCTCTCTCTCTCTCTCTCTCTCTCTCTCTCTCTCTCTCTCTCTCTCTCTCTCTCTCTCTCTCTCTCTCTCTCTCTCTCTCTCTCTCTCTCTCTCTCTCTCTCTCTCTCTCTCTCTCTCTCTCCAGTCTGAGAAACTCACCCGTCCCATTCTCCCAGCTCCCGACGTCGGTAGAAGCTCATGTTTCCACTCAGAGTCGTTGTCTGGCGGCACTGCTCCCGACTGCTGCCTCCTCAACACCTCCTGTCATCCCAACTGACACCGCCACAGCGGAGACACACAGCCGACACACACACAGACACACACACCGGGCCGCACTGTTCAGCCGCCGCCCGCCCGTCCGGATCCTCTGATCACAGGTGTTGGTCTGAGGTGGCTGGGCTGCGCAGCTGTCCCCGCCTGTCGGGCCCGCGGGCGGGGACGTGCCCCCGGGCAGTGGGGGAGGGGAGGGACTCCCTCCGGATCACGGGGAGGAGGGTGCTGTCTATCACAGAGGCCAGATGAGACGTGAAGCCGCGGCACACGCCAGTCAGCGGTCGCTGGGCCGGAACAGGCATGTTTATTAACGGGGATTGGCTATGGGCTTTGCCTGGTGACCTAGAATGCGCTCCAGAAAATACGGGAAGTTACATGTAGAAGTGGAACAAACTCTTCGACCGCGAATGGCGAATGATTCGAAGTCGGTTCGATTAAAGTTCACGGTCTGGGAACAGAGAGTCTGAGTCTTCAGCCCTGATTTATTGGTGAAGGAGAGAGGGCCGGCGATTCGACCTCTTCGCTATTTTCGTTGTTCTGATTTCCGAAGATGCATACGATTGCATGCGCTGGTGACGTGAAATTCTGTGACGTTTCCTGCACGTTTATGTGCAGTATTTATGTGCAGGAAGTAAATAGGTACGTTGTGCTGAAGTTTCCCCAAGGTAAGAGAGTGAGAGACTGAGACGTTATTATCTGAGCCCTGAGGACAGCATAAGAAGCTTTTTTCAAATGAGCAAGCCATTTAGCCTCCCTAGGGCACATCTCATCAGCTATACTATACTCCAACCCCGAGTAGTGACGTCACAATTTGTGTGACGCACCCAGACAAGTTTGGAGCGTTTTAACGGCTTCTGACGACACCCCGACCCGTGCTGTCGTCATAGAGCAGTCGGCGATGACGGACGAGCCGTCAGCTCGACTGTGTCGGCTGACAGACGGTCACGGTGACGGCGGCTGTCACATTGAGGTGACAGATGGGCGCCGGGAGCGGACCGGTGACAGCGAGTCGGTGTCTCGTGTGACAGGACGAGTAGTGATAGTGACAGCAGCTGTCACTCAGCCAAGTGGTAGATTGTTTATCGCGTCTGATTGGATGTCAATTAACAAGTAGATATATGGATATAAATAGGTAAAAGTTATCCATGCTTCGTGTCATATCTAGGTGGAGAACAGAAGCGAAGTTTGACTACCTTTTTTCTATTTGAGACAGGTTATTGAACATTCGTCCGCTCACCATTCCAAGTGTCTCTGTTTCTCTAATTTTTGTTAGGTAAAATGCGCATTGGTGTATCGTCCAATTTAAGATGTCAGGTGTGCTTGGCACTCCAAACGACCAGATTTCTGCTGACCAAGGTCTACGACGTAATAAACAGTCGACGTAGGTATGTAACATATTTATTTAATTCTTTATTTAACTATAGGGACAGGCGGATAATATATTTTGTTTCACTTGTGACTTGGACCAACCAGGAAGCCAAATTGGTTGTGGTACCAATCAGGGTTTCGGAGTCGGAGTCGGAGTCGGAGTCGGAGTCGCCCGGAGTCATGGCAAGCAGCCAGGAGTAGGAGTAGGAGTCGAAGTCGGTCAAGCTGCCTCGACTCCGACTCCGGAAAATAACTAGAATCTGTGACATCACTTTTCAGTTGTTTTTTTTACCAGTTGCCCGCGGTAGAATTCGCTTCCGGCGATAAAAATTGCACTCATCTTGTTTTTGTTCTAAATGACAAACATTGGATCTTACAAGTTTCAAGTTATATCATAATTTAGTAGCCAAGTATTTTGCATGTCTGTTAAAACTTCCACTATCTGAAGTATTGGACGAGTCAAAGACTAAATGTATTTTTATTTTCTTCGTTTATGCTCCGAAAAGTATCAACACATAGGAATGACCGACATGATGGCGAGGCGATGCTCGTGTTCGCGATACGGCCGCCTCTCGTGCTTCTCGGCGGGTTTCCATGCTGACCGCTGACCTCTTGTGGATTCAGCTGCGTCCACGTGGGAGAAATGGTGCTGACTGCATATAGGAAACCGGAGAGTAGGAGCGTTCTCCCCGTGCACGTAGACCTAGCACGTGGCGTCATATCACGCAAAATTTTGGCGGCCGCCATTGCCATTCGTATTAGACCCGGAGTCGGAGTCGGAGTCGGTCAGGAGCCCGGGGTCGGAGTCGGAGTCGGAACAGCGCTACCACGAGACGACTCCGAAACCCTGGTACCAATGTTTACTGAATACGGCTGTAACGTTTGACTTTGAGGATAAATAAGTACTGAACATAAAATGCATTAAAAAATAACACAATAACTCCTGAATCCTGATGCAGGTGAATTGTTTCCCGTATTTTTTTCGCATTTTTCGTATTTCTGGAAATGACGTATCTACCAACAGTCCGTCTCTCTTCGCCCTGATAATCAGAAGTTGCGAGGCACTTTTATTTAAAAAGAAGCGGCGTTATGGCACTGTCGGTACCTTATCAAAACATATAAAACAGAGGGGGAGCCCGCCTGGCCGGCCGACTCCGCACCTCCACACTCCGTGCGGCCAGAACATGGGGCAACGCTCAGCTGTGACGCTGCAATTGGGAGCGGGTGCGCTATGGGTGCCAACACTATGGACAAAGTCGGGACCACTCGCAGCGCACGGCCCGAGATCGCCGGCGACACCAGCGTCCTCTATAGCTCCACCGACACGCCGCTAGCGCCACCTACAGCTGGACGCTGACACCACGTGCCGGCCGGTCAGTCCTACACGCCTCGTTCCGGTACAAAAAGGGAATGTGTCTGGGTATAAATACACATGCGATTGCGCCGCTACTGTGCCGACACCACTGCTCCACCAACAGCTGAGGCAGCTGGCGGCTCGTCCAGAGATCACATCGGTCCGACAGGTAAAACGCCTCTGTGACTGACAGCGGCAACACGGGCGCACGAGCCGCAAAGCTCGTACACAACACAGCAACATAAAACACATCACATCCACGCAAACAAAAAGCAGCCGACAAATTTCCACGCACCATCGCTGTAACACTCATCTACACAAGGATCACAAAGCATACACAATTTTGGGACAAAAAGCGTGCCACACGTCGCCACGAACCACTCCACCCACTCCACGTCCACGTCCACTCTCCACCGCGCCACATCGCTCCACACAGCCTTCCACCCCGTCTTTGGCGCCACTCTTCACGCTGGTCGTCCACACGCGCCGTTCCGAGGGTCGGCTCGACTCACAGCTTTGATTGATTGGTTGGCGTCCTGCACAGGGGCGGTTGGTTGACCTGATGATGCCCATGCTGATCAAACGGGACCAATCCAGCAGTTTGAAGCCGTATCGAGTCATCCAGTCGCCGTAATATGTAAGGGGGACGCTCTGTGACATTGGACCACCTAAGTCGCCAGCCATTTCGTGAGAGTCCATCGAATTCCCACAAGCCGGCGCGACTTTGGGCGAGTTCATTCTCCGCGTTTCGACACGGTCTGCCGGAGCTTCTCGAGCCGCCGACAGCCGCGTCCTGTATCACAACTTCACCGCGTCGGTGTCTCTCGTCGAAACGTCTCTCTAGGCTAGATCTCCGAAATGGATTATCTGGGCTAAGCGATTTCGCGTTCGCTGCTACGGTGTTTGAATGCGGCCGGACTCAGAGTTCGGGCGGCCGCAGCGTGACTTCAGTTCTGGCCGTGCGGTGGCGCTGTCACCTCATCCCTGGTAGTCTAGGCGGCGCTAGTGCGGCAGCCACAGCTCCGGGCATGAACCGCCCGGGCTAAACCGGACGGGACGCTCGACACTGTTCACCGCTGGTGCTACCGCTTTGACTGGCTAACGGCACCACACCAGTCTCCGTCACCAGCGTCCATCACCAGAGGTCACCAGGGCGTGTCACTAGCACCACGACTCGCCAGCCATCGACGACGGTCGGCCGCCGACGGGCGGCGGAGGCGGCTCGTCGTCGTCGTCGTCTCCACCGCCGTACATATCAGCCAGCTTTCTGAACCGCGGCCCGAACTCGTTCAGAATGTCGAAGTTGAGGTCGTTGTCGTCGGTGCCTGCAGGGGATGAAGAACAGTTGGTGTCAGGAAAAGAGCCAATGTAGCGCGATCAAGAATGGGACGTTGTGAAACGTCACTGGACGGTTTTACTTTCAATACCTGATAAAAATAAGAGCGAGAACATTATAATTCCATAAGTTTAAAACCTGAGGCGCGCGTCTTATATGAACTAAGCGATTACCTCGCTCATGATCAATCAGTGAGCACCTCACGACACGATCGGGGAAAGTGAGCGCACCACACTACTACTCGAGTTGAGAGATCGATGATCACCTCCTACTCGCCTCACTTGAGCTTGAGTGACCACCTCGCAACTCACCTGAGTTGAGTGATGAAAGTGATCCAGCCGAGCTGCCGCCGCCTTCGTAGGCGTAATTTCTGCAGTCGTCCGAGGGCCAGGCCTGCTCGTCTCTATCCACCTGGTTCTTGTTATCGTCTATGAAGCTTCGTACGGACGGCGGCTGGCCGGACGGACTCAGACCGACCGGGCGCATCGCGTCCTCTGCGGAAGGGGAAGAGAGAGTCAGATAGAGTCAGACTGTCAGAGAGACGATTGACGAACCTTCAAAAGGACGATGATGCCAAAACGGTTAGACAAATTTTATTCAGAGCTTCGCCGATTGATTTTGTCGCGTCATATAGCACATTGAACAATAAAGGGAAACGTGAAAAAAATTATCGTCCCGTTGGAAAAAAGAAACTAAAATTCGGCGTCATTCAAACTATAAATACTTCGGTCGGCCAGCCTACAGTCATTGCAAACCTATGACAACGCACAACTGCATCCTACAGGCCCAACCCTCCTCCAACTCCATCGGAAACCCTCCCCACTCACACGAGCCCCAGCAGTCCCCACCTCTGTCCCTCTAACTCCCTCCCCTCCTCTCCCCCGGTCACTCACTGGGCGCCACGCCGTTGGCCTGGACCTGCAGCACGCTGAGGTCGTAACCCGTCTGGTCCTTCTCACCACCGCCCTCGTCGTCATAGTTGATGATGGTGTCCCGCATCTCATCCACGGGCTCCTTGTAGAGCGTGCGGACGTGGCGACGGCGGTACATAATGACCACAATTACCAAAACTGGAGGGAGAGAGACGCGGGAGGGTTAGAGCGGAGAATACAAAGCAGTATTCTTAATTTACGGAAAATTCAAGTTCTCCTTTCGACAAAACACATTTGAGTAACATGGATAAACATTGAGACCGCCACTCATCACCTACACTCCCACGGTGTCTTTTTCTCCCTCCCCAGTCCCCACGGTCTCTTATTGAGCAGAAATAATTATCCCACAAGCAATGTAAATAACTATCCTAAACCGTCTATAAATTATAATCAATATATCACACATATCCCTCTCCCTTCCTCTCCTCTTTCTCTCTCTCTCTCTCTCTCTCTCTCTCTCTCTCTCTCTCTCTCTCTCTCTCTCTCTCTCTCTCTCTTCCTCCCCCTCTCTCTCTCTCTCTCTCTCTCTCACTCCCCCCTCTCTCTCTCTCCCCCCTCCCTCTCCCTCCCTCCCCCTCCCGCGTCTTGTCTTACTCAGCAGGATGGCCAGACAGGCGAGCAGCACGGTCTCTCTCTCTCTCTCTCTCTCTCTCTCTCTCTCTCTCTCTCTCTCTCTCTCTCTCTCTCTCTCTCTCTCTCTCTCTCTCTCTCTCTCTCTCTCTCTCTCTCTCTCTCTCTCTCTCTCTCTCTCTCTCTCCCTCCCTGCCCCTCTCTCTCCCTCTCTCCCTCTCTCCGTCTTACTCAGCAGGATAGCCAGACAGGCGAGCCGCACGGTCTCTCTCTCTCTCTCTCTTTCTCTCTCTCTCTCTCTCTCTCTCTCTCTCTCTCTCTCTCTCTCTCTCTCTCTCCCTCTCCCTCTCCCTCTCTCTCTCTCTCTCTCTCCCTCCCCATCTCCCCAGCGTCGTGTCTTACTCAGCAGGATGGCCAGACAGGCGAGCAGCACGGCCAGGAAGCTGCTGGACGTCTCGATGACCGGAGTGGCTTTGGCCAGCTCGGAGCAGTGGGAGCTGTAGCCTACTCCGTCCGCCGGCTGCGCCAGGTCAAACACCTGGACACAGAGAACACATCAGGGTGGTTAGGTGCAATACTGAGGTGGATGGATGAAATGACCTACGCCAAGACTGTATTCATAGACAAAGAGCCCGATTTCACTGAGTCATTTACAAATTTGGGTTGACAGGGGAATGGGAACACGAAGCAGCTGTCAGTTTGCTAACGATCTTCACACGAACAAACAAGTTATTCTCATAATAAATTCCTTCTACCATGACTCACCACACACATCTTTATGCATCTAATAACCCTCGTCACCCATCAGTATACGACATCTCTCCACTGCCCCATCTTTCCCTCTTCCTCTCCCACCCTGTCACCTACCCCCCTCCCCCCCCCCCCCCCCGCCTACCCGCTCTCCCCGGTCTCCTCCCCACCTCTGCCGACAGATTGCTCACCCTGTCCAAGAAGGTCATGTTCTGCACACATCCTGTGAAGCCTCCCCAGCCGGGCACCCGGTCCCAGGAGGTCATCACCGCGGCCACCTGGTCCAGCGGTACGGCCGAGCCTCCCAGCTGCAGTGGCGTGTCCACATTCAGGAAGGAGTTCTTCTGTCCGTCGGGGCCGGCCGGTGCGGCCGCCGAGGCTTGGCACTCCGACGAGCCGACGCAGCTGTCTATGAGAACCACCATCGTCTGCGGGAGAGAGAGAGTGGTGGTCAGTACCGGAGACGGAAATGGTACAGGGTTGGGCTGGTGATTTTAAAGTGACAAACAATCATCTACATGCTATCAAGGAAGTGTACGTAAAACCATTATGGCAGCTGCTCGCACAACCAAACATTGCAGGGGAGTAAGACCCTTTTTTCTACTACCTGGTATGCTTATTAAGTCACAACAGCCAGTATTTCTCACTACCTCAGCAAGCCTCAGTTTCCACCTCCCTCCCACAGATGACAGCACCTAGCACCGCTGCCAGCCCAAGTAGCCTTACCTCCGGGTCCCAGGTGATGTCTATGTGGTGTTTGTGGTTATCGCTGATCTTCAGCGCCGGACTGGCCACCGCCGTACCCGTGCCGTAGTTCATGAACACGCGCAGGCGCCCCTCCATCACATCCACGGCGAAAAAGTCTGCAGGAAAAATGGGTTAATGACTGTCAGACGGAACAACTAAAGAAAACTACAGAGAGCAATAATTGCAAGCATCATAGCCTGCTGGGATCCAAATTTCGGGCTAGTTCTCAGTCGTATATTATTATCATATTCGTATAGTACATCGTAAAGAATTACTCTACGCCACAGTTCCGCTGACTCAACACCAACTACCTCATTGCATGCATTCCACTGACCCTACCGCCTACACCAGATCCTCTCACTGCGCCCCATTTCCACTGACCAAGCACCAGATCCCCTCACCGCGCCCCATTTCCACTGACCCTGCACCAGATACCCCCACCGCGCCCCATTTTCACTGACCCTGCACGAGGTGCGACGGCTCCGAGATGGGTCCGTTGTACATGACCAGCGCCTCCTCCGAGACGGTCGTCAGGTCAAAGCTCAGGTGGGAGGCGTTGCAGGCCGTCAGCTGCGGGAACCACGCGTACCCAGTGCCCTCGAAGTGGATGGTGTCGCCCTGACAGTTGGGTCCCGGGAAACCGGCCTCGCACTCACACCTGGAGGCGGAGGTCAGGTCACAGATCCGTCAGTAATGGTCAGGTATCAACTGATCGAGAGCCGGTAGCATTCCATAAACTCGCGGGAAAGCGTGAATCCGACAACGTCGACACAAAATAAAGCGGGGTTATTGACGAACACCGAGCACCCATGCTTATCGATTAGCGGCTTATGAATATCGTGTGCTGTTGTTGCAGCATGAGAAGTTGGTTATATGCTACGCTGGGATTATTTCCGCAGTTAACTCACTTCTTCTGGTCCTCACTCCATCGGCCATCGTGCAGACAGATCTCGGGCGCCATCTTGGCCTCACACTCGTTACATTTGTACTGCAGCTCCGTCTTCACACCTGCAAATAAATATCAGTCAGCATTGGACTGAAGGGAGAAAACAAACGCCCAAAAACCCAGCTGGTGCATAAATAAGCCTTCTCGTAAACGACGCAAGCCACAGGGTTTCCCCTTCGTTATTTTAATGAATGCAGCCGTAAAAGGAGTAAGGCCAATGAGCGATAAAATCGAGCAATTACGTGGATTACCTATATAGTTCTCTATCCGCACACAGTGCACTAAGTGGTGCGCCTACAGCCTCATATGATCATGGGATTTCGAAACATGATGAGCTTCATCAGACGTAGGCCACCAATAAATATCGCGACTGCGAGCCATTATTTACACATGGTACAACTCAGCAGATGCCAATAGATACCAGACGATCGTTTGCACACGGTACAACCCGCTACGTACCGATGATGCTGGATGTGTTGGTCTGCACCCGGTACACCTCGTTGTCGAAGATCTTCAGCTCGGCGTGGCAGCTTCCCTCGCAGGTGTGCTCGTATATGCAGTCGTTGATGCCCACCTGTTCGATCTTGATGCCGAACATGGTCTCCAGCTGTCGGAGCGTGGGGAGAACGGGTTAGAGCCCCGCTCAGTAGAGTATATTACACTTTTCTTCAGCATCATTGAATCCAAAACGCATACACAAAGCATTTCCAACCACATCTAGTCATCGTAATAAGAGACAGTTAACATCAAGCCGTGCTCATTGCCCACCCCTTTATATCTACCCTCGAAGTAATTCCGTATCCTCGCCCTTTCCGATTCACCAGCTCCCTGCCTTCTAATTCCTAACTCCCACCCTCTCGCTCTTTCCCTCTTACCATGTCTCTATTCTGCGCGACAATGCCGTCCATCTTCTCTGCCTCGTAGTAGGGTGAGCCGTGGGCGGCGTAGCGTACATCCACGCCTCCGTCATCGTTATCCACAACGCCAAACAGGTCGACGTTCTCTGGCGCCGTGCTGAATAGCCGGGCCAGCTCCGTGATGAGACGCTCGTGCATCGAGGGTGTCTGGGAAGAGCAAGTTGGAGGAGTGAGTGAAATACAGAGACTGGAAGAGAGGATTTGTACGTGCGAGCCAAACTTCAGTACACGGTTTACGAGCCTACCGTACGAATGTAATTGTAAACGAAGTTGGCTGATTGCCTGAGCGCAAGCCATCCAAGTTTTGAAGTTAGCCTTTGAAGATGCAGACATAATCTATAAAAAGGCTGAATACGGTAGCACTTGTTTTCGTCAATTCCATTCAAGGACGAGTAAAATAAAAATTCAATCGTCACTTCGGGGCTATGAATAACTAGATTTTGCACGTTCAGAAACATGTCTGGAGACACGTGATCAATCATAGCCAATGCCACAACTCCACAGCTTGTACCAGACCACCCCACCCTCGGGCATACGTCGAGTCCTCCCAACTCCGTTCGCCTGCCTTCTCACACCATCTCCTTACATCCTTACCAAGCCGTCTCTCACTTCCTCTACTCAGAACTCACATCCTTATCGGGGCGCGAGACGAACTCAGCAGCGGAGACATCCTTGATCCTCAGTGAACCCGACTGGGTGACGGCCTCACGGGGCAGCAGTCGCACCTCGACTGTCACCAACGCAGAAACGGTGCTCTGGAACTTTTTATCAAACACCTGGCGGCAGACACGCGAACTAATCAGCCTTGGGGAAAGAGCGGGGACGGCGGAGGAAACATTACTGAACAGCTGCTATATAAAGACGCAGAGCTCCCGCACAGCGGTAAAAACAAGCAGCCAGACATTAATTAACCGGAGAACTGAAATATTGGAAAGTAATGCGAAATCCGGGAGGCTAGAATCCGAGCAAAACAACACTACGCCACTTTACATAATCAAACACACCGACATTGATATTCCGCTCAATACAAGGCACTTATTCATGCAGGGTTTGGTCGTCTCAGAGACTCAGACTCAGACCCCAGGTGTTCTGCGATTGTTCACGGGTATTTCCCCACTCTCACCTGGAACTTGAGGGGATAGCTGCCGTTGGGAGTGCCGTACTTCATGGTAATGTTTCCCGTGTCTCTGTCGAGCTCAAAGTGGCGGTACTCCTCCCCCTCGAGCCACGAGAAGGTCTTGTCGGGCAGATCCCAGTCGTCCGGGTCGTCCACGTACACCCGGCCCACCACCGTGTCGGGCATCTTACCCTGAGGGGCGGCGGAGACGGGTTAGGAATACCGCGAACTGTAGCCTAGATATTGTACGACTATTTCACGATTGGGGTGAACATTTTATATATAACTTAATGATTGTTTGGATACTGAATTGTCAGGCGGATGAAATCGCGAGCGTTCCTTTTGGTTAATCAGCAATTGCTTGGCATTTCATTGTAACCTTGTCCATACAAACGAAATAACGGTCCACTCACTCAATGCTAATTTAGCAGGCTTCAATCGAGTTAGCTTACGCGAAAGCCCAAAATGAGCGTTGTGATGGTAAAATGGATGTTTGTCTAACACAAAACAGACTGTTGACGAACCTACAATTAAATAAAACAGTGGTCGGGACTGGAAACATTGGAGTAGTACGTTAGTCTTATCCTCAAAATAAAATCATTAAGCCTAAATCGCAATAATACGTAGCTACCGGAACGGTTTCCCTGCACGGTCAGAGACTCAGAGTCGGACAAATATGTGGTTTCGGCACGGTTGGACAGAAGTGGGGGTTGAGCGGACTGGTGGGCTCGGACGGTCGGAACTGGATGTGGAGTCAGACGGGTCAGAGGGGTCACCATCCCGCTACCGTGGGGGTGGAACTACACACTGGGGTGACATATATCGAAAGGTCTGCACCGGCAGTGGGACAAACCACTGCCAGTTGAGAGATCCCTGGAGCAACGAGTACGGGCGGTGAACACTGAACAAAACGGACACTCCTGGCAACTCTGCTAGACAGGCAGAGCATGGGGATGGCGCTGTTAAGGAGTATGGGGAGAGGATGGGGACTATAACTCCGGAGAGAGGCAGGAGGGCGCTTCTTTAGAGCAAGGTAGAGCGTGTGATGGGGCTACGCTATGGAAAGACCTAGAGCGCGGGATGAAGTTGTGGGATGAAAATCCTCCGAGAAAGGTAGAGGTTGGGATTGAGCCACTCTCGGGCGAGGTAGGGGTGTACAGCGCTACTCCGGGGTAGAGGATGGAATGACGCTACTCTGTTACACAGGGTGGGATAGCGCTACTCCGGGGAAGAGCGTGAGATAGTGCTGCTCCTTAGTAGAGGATGGGATATCGCTACTCCATTGCAGAGGGTGGCGAACCGCTACCCCGAGTCAGAGCGAGGGAGACGGCAGACGCCAGATGAGGTAGCAATGCAATCACGGTCCCTGGAGTACGATGGAAATCAGTCGAGCTACGAGGCGCCGACGAATACCATTGAGTTCCAGTGAGAGGCAGAGTAGTACTGAGGAAAGGTCAGAGGTTGAACACAACGCTACCGGTACTGTGCGGAAGTTAACGTCAAAATCTGAAGGGAAAAGGAGAACACCAAAATCATTTTTGTTGCACAATGTGTTCGCAGTGTTTCAAGGCGTAAAACAACGTGGTATGGCACAATCAAATGCAGAAAATGTGTTAAATATTTAACAAAATAAAAGTAGGCATTCAAAACAAGCTTTGCTCGCAGTGTTGTTTCTGCAATACAGCAAGCACGCCGACACTGAACATTCCGGGTTCTCTGCAATCTCTGCAATTTTCAAACCGCATCGCATTAGATCTCGTGAATGCTTCAGTAGCGTCGAGCTGTACACACTCAGTGCGCTCGTTGCATCGCAGATCAGAGTCATCCAGTAAACATGCCAGGCACGGTGCACACTCAGACACAAACTCTGTACACCGACGTGGCGTGAGCGCCAACCATGCTGAGGGCGACTGTGAGCACCATCAAACACCAAATACGCACTGTCCTGTCCCCGAGATAGATCTTTTTCCGCACATAGTCGACTGTCAGCCAGACATTGCCCGAGGGCTCCAGAGGCTCGGCAGGCCGCTCCTGGCCCTGCCCGAGGTCAGGTCAGCTACGTCAGGGCTGCAGAAGTGTCGGGCAGTTCAACAAAGCCCGCTAGGCTCAACCAGTAAACGACTACTTTCACAAATACGCACTCTCTTCGTTCTCCATAATTTCCCTCCCACCCAGTGAACTGACCTCGAAGTTGAAGACGCTGATGGCGCTGACGCCGTCCTTCATGTCGTTGTCGTTCTCGTCGCCGATGATGATGGTGAAGAGACTGGTGCCCGTCAGGGAGGTGGGCGACGCCGTGTCTCTGTCACTGACCACCACCGGGATGTTGTACTCCTTCTGCATCTCGCGGTCGAACGACACCAGAGGACGGATCTCGGCGCGGTTATCCTGCTCTGTGGGCGGTGAGAGGTAGAGTCGGGTCATGACACGTCAGCAGAGGTCACCAGAGGTCACCGAAGGTCAGTACAGTCACAAAAGGTCAGGTCAGAACACCTCGTTCACCGGGGTAAATGCACCGACAGCGGCGCGCGACACACCAACCATTGAAGACAAATGACGGTGCTGGCTGTGTCCAGAGCACCATTACTCCGGCTTCAAACACCCTTTGGAGCGCCGATAGCGGCACTTTCCGTGGCCGTTTGTCCCGCCCGCCCGGGCAGCGGGTGCGCTCGACGCGGCAGAGTCCGACGGCCAGCCAGGAGACGGCCAGCAGTGGTCGGCGGGCTCTCGGTTCGCACGGAACCACACACAATTAGCCGAAATGCATGGCTTTATAGGCGGCATTTCGGCCATCCGACCGGGCCAGACGGCGCCGCGCCAGACACCGCAAGTCACCGAAACGTCAGAGGCGCGCCATAACTGCCGCCATAAACCGCGCGCCGCGCGCCAGAAGCGTCACCTGGCCGAGCCGTACCTCGTCACAATTCCGCTTTATCGCCGCAATCAAGCAAACAGTACTAACACGTCAGCCGTAACGCTGCATATTCAGCTCGGCGAGTTATTAAAGCCGACAGCCCCGGGTGAGCTTCGAACCCGTAACCTTTCAGTTACTGATCACCATTCCCTTCAGCATCACGTTCCACCTACCGACGGTGGTGACGGAGAACATGTCGTGCAGCTCGGCAGGCGCGTCCGGATCCAGGGCGAAGGTGTAGGGCGGGCCGTTCCACTGGTGGTCGTCAAAGTCATCCGCCTCGACGGGGATGACCACACCCTCGGGAGATTTGTTCTCCATAATCACCTGGCGCGTATCCTCACTCTGGGGATGGATAGGGCATCGTCATCAGGAGCAGGACAGTCACACGGGTGTAACTTGGACTAGTGACTGTATCTGCGCCTTCCCATGTGTTGCCTGGTGTTGCCTATAAATGGTTACATGAAATTAAATCATCTGAATGGTGATTAAAACATCCGAAACGCAGCGCGGCCCGTAGGCGAGTAACATAAGTTAAGTTGTGAGTTCATCAAAATACGACCTCGCCAGTCGCCGTTCCATCTATGCCGCTATCTGAGCAATGCGGAAGCCATGTTACTGGTGCAGTGCACAGTCGAGAGTCAGTGTAAATAGCACAGAGTTTCCCCGGCCAGCGGCGGCCATCTTACCTGGACCAGGTACGGTGAGTTGTCACTGTCAATGTAGAGGGCACAGACTTTCCCTGGCCTGTGGCGGCCATCTTACCTGGACCAGGTACGGCGCGTTGTCGTTGATATCGGTGAGCGTCAGTGTGAAGTGTACAGAGTTTCCCCGGCCTGTGGCGGCCATCTTACCTGGACCAGGTACGGCGCGTTGTCAGTGTCAGTGTGAAGGGTACAGAGTTTCCCCGGCCTGTGGCGGCCATCTTACCTGGACCAAGTAAGGTGCGTTGTCGTTGATATCGGTGAGCGTCAGTGTAAAGGGCACGGAGTTTCCCTGTCCGATGCCGCCCTCGTCCCACGCCTGAACGGAGAGCTCCCAGACCTCGCGTCCGCCGGTGCCCTCGTCACGGTCCAGAATCTGCCAGAACAGACGTTACAGTCAGTACTCAGTAACAGTCACAATTGTTACAAAAGGTCACAGCATGGAATCCGTCAACACATCGGTCGTAACGAACCGTCACAATGTTATATGCTGGCAAGGTCCGGATCATGTATGAATAGCTGTCACATGCTGTTACCTACCACCACGAATTTAGATATGTCACACAGAACCGATTCTATGTGTCATACCTACGCCGTTACCGTCCATCATAAGCCGACATCGACCGTCACAAATCGTTATAAGACTGTCACAGCATAGCCGAAATGCAAGATAATAGGAGCTAAGAATGGACTGCAAGTGCGATGCATAGATATGAGAGGGTCATGGAGATTGGAATAGATAGCTGTTCCGATACACAAGTATGTCAGGGTCTTAGAATGGACCTGTCTCGTATACACAGCCAACATTCAGATGTGCCGCCGTCAGATGGGTCATATGTCAGTCGGGACACATTAGCAACGTCCACTGTCGGCGGCCGGGCCCTCATTAATCACAGAGGCGCCATCACGGTCCGTCGGCAGCCAACGGCGAGCGGACGGACCAGGATGGACCCGGATAGCCGGATGGGCCAGGATGGACCCCGAGACGGACGGATGGACCCAAGATGGACCCCGGATAGGTGGATGGACCCGGGGATAGCCGGATGGACCCAGATGGACCCCAGACGGACCCCCGACGGAGCCAGTGACGAGCTGACCCAGGACATGGAGCGGATGGACCCGAGACGGGGGATGGATCTGAGACGGGCGATCGGATCTAAGACGGTCGGTTCTCCGTCATCATTCTAAGGGTAGAATCAGCTGGCAATATGAGGGCCAAGATAGGTTAGGTATGCTATGGAAATAAATGATCCAGAGTATACAAATATGCCCTATTCAAAACGTTCGGTAGCACAGAAGGACTAAAATGATAAGAGATACGATGCAGGAACGATACTTTTCAACAAAACAAACACAACACAACTAACTGACAGCACGAATACTGCAAAGACGCAGGCGCTTGCCACAGCATTAGCTTATCAGTCGAGCTTCCATACTACCGCTGGGATCCATGAATGATTGCTATTTCATAAAAACCAGTCAGACCTTATCAACTGATGGGTTCTATCGATCGCAACGAAAACAAAAATAATGGCACAAACATGCGACCAAAAACAGCCGGTGAGAATCATTACGACGAATTACTACGAAGGTGTTCCGAGTGATAAAAGAATACACTGCAGAAGCCGAGCCATCTGGCTCAACTGTAGAGCCGCAGAAGCAATATCAAAACGTATGGCGGGTGTCGGTAAAGTAAGACAAACGGCATCAATATATCACAATTCCTTCTCTACGCCGCACTGAAACCCTCTCTCCTCCCTCCTCTCATCAACGTCAGTCCCAGCGCTGCGTCCGCTCACCTTTTGTACCAAAACCTCTCCGTTTTCGTTGATACTGAACACGTCATCCTCAGGATGTTCGGGGAACACTCCTGGTCCGGAGAGCTTGTACACGATCGACGAGACGCCAGAGACCGGGTCCGGGTCGGTGGCCGTGACCTGAGGGCAGCAGAGGTCACAAAGGTCAGCGGGGTCAACAAGTCCGCAAAGTTGATAAAGGTCAACAGAGGCCAGGAACGGTCTGAAATCAATAATAATAAGCAGAAGTCATTTGAGGACAACAGAGGTTTGTAAAGATCAGAGGAAGTAAGTCAAGGTGGTAAAAAACAGATAAAATAAAGGTCTCAAGAGATCACTAAAGGCCAGGCGCATTTAAAAAAGGTCACTGAGGGGTTGTATAGTTCGTCCCCTGTCTGCAGTCGCCGGTAAAGGTCAGCGTCCGATCGGAGTCTGAACGGCCATGAAAGATTGTCGTGGAGGCGCGGAGGACGATAAAGCACAAGCCTGGAGGGACAGGGACGGGGGGGGGGAGAGGGGCGGTTCGCGGGTGGGAGACGGTTACACGGGCCTGTTTGGCCTGCGACTCTTGACGTGGAAATGAAGCCCGTATCGCAGTAATTCACAATAATAAACAGCCATAGATGATCGCTCCATGCTACCAGTCATTGAACAACAGCCTTAAATAAATGATAAAGGCCGGCGAGTGCAAACGCCATCACCGTGAACAATAGCGACACCGGGCTAATTCACACTAAATATCCACGCCACCATTTAACTTTCAAATCGTAATAAATAGCCGTGCCCAGGTGCGAACTCCGCCCCAACGGTGAAAATAAACGAGCGGAATAGCATTAATCGTGACATTTTCAGGTCGGGCAAACATGAAGTGTTGCCGCCTTCTTTGGAAGGCACCGGTCGGATGCCCAGCAGTACCGATAGTTTCTCTGTGGGGTCTCGGGTGTATGACTCGCGGTGCAGACAAGTGTTCGTTCATCAATATCGGCAATCCATACGGGCACCGAATGAAACTGCGCCACTTTGGTCGTCGCGCCGAAATGACGAACATCGATTTCAGTTCCGCGCCAGGAAACGTGACTGATCAGCTAGTGGTTTCGCGGAAGGCATTGATCCTAGCTCTCAGGCAGTGTACTATAGTAGTTTAACGAAACCAGCCGCAGCCCACTCAGTGGCACTTTCCACTCTGTCGCCAGCGAGCCACGACGACAAAAGGTTTTACTTGTTACACCGGACGCGAGGCTCGCGAAAGGGCACAGCGAACGGCGAAAATTGCCCCAGTAAACCGGGAAGTAAACGCCAGCCATGAAATTGCTATGTCACGTCCGGCACGAATGGCTCATATATTCGCACGTCGTGACGACAGCAGCCGAATGAATTATACATGCTCTCCAAATTACCCGGCCGCTTCTGCTCCGGCTTCACTGTTCACGTACGAAACCATTAATTCATTCGCTGTCTGCTAACACCCTACCGGAGCGCTATATGCGGGCCTTGCCCCGAGATCGGCTCTATATTATCCGAGTCAACTGGCAAGAGCCGTCAGTCATGGTGAGAGTTTCGTCAATAGTGAGTATACTGAGTTACGTCAATGGAGAGTGCTGAATTTCGTCAATAGTGAGTATGCTGAGTTACGTCAATGGAGAGTGCTGGGTTACGCGAATGGAGAGTGCTGAGTTACGTCGATGGTGAGTACTGAGCTAAGTCAGTGGTGAGGTACTGAGCTGAGCAACATTGATAGCCAGTTAAGTCATTGGTGAGTTACCTACGTCGATGGTGAGAGGGTGGGTCGATTCTCACCTTGACGATGGGCTCGGAGGAGTCTCGCGGCCCCTCGCTCATCTTCAGCTGGTAGCTGGGCTTGTCGAACACGGGAGGCACGTCATTGATGTTGGTGACGTTGATGTCCACAGCGTGGGTGGCCTCGTACTTTCCGTCCGACGCCGTCACCGTGATTTTGTACTGCAGAAGACGAAAAGGTCAGTTAGGAGACTGGCTATATTAACATTGACTCTTGGCCAGCTGAATTAAGGATACTACGCTGAACCATATATTTGGCTTCTCAGACGTAAATGCATAAGTATTCTTTCCACATTGATACAATAAATCGATGCGCAATTTAATTCATGAATATCATTTAGAGCATCGCAATTCACAGTAATCCTCATTTAAAAATAACTCGCACAATTCTCTCCGAGAGCCAGGGTCGTGGACCGTGGTGCTGTTGGATCAGCATACAGCACTTGCGTCTAGGTCGCGGGGACTCACTGTGTTGACTCGCTCAAAGTCGAGTGCGTTCTTGACTCTGACGATGCCCGTGTCGGAGTCAATGTCGAACACGCCGCCGTAGTTGCCGTCCGTGATCTGGTACTGGATCTTCGAGTCTGACATTGGAGAGAGGCAGGTCACGACATACTCGTACAGTAGTTTGGGAGCACAAATAAACATGAGGGCATAAATCTGGGTCCTGAGCCGGTCGAAGACACCTCCACATTACGGCGAATAATACAGCATGGTGCATAGTTACTATGATACCAGCTGGCAATTGAACACAAAATGACATCGATCCCTTATTTTTCGGGGAACAGCTCCAGCATATGACACGATCATTTTTATCAGACTGTCAGTACCAGTAACACACACACGACGACAATGTAGTATTGTCTACGAATCACCAATACAACGCCTAAAAATAGAACACAACAGTCCGAAGATAACATTCTTTCCTGCTGAATAGAAAACACATTTATAGCACATATAGCTTCTCCGACACCCAACTCTTCCGGGGAAGAAACCAAAAAGGTAAACTGCCTTAAAACCACTCCGGATCCCTGACCCAGCCACTCACCCGAGTCCTGGTCGCTGGCGAGCACCTCCATGACGTTGGCGCCCTTGTTAGCCTGTTCCGATATGGTGGCCTTGTATCTCCGGTTGGGGTCGAACACGGGTGGGTTGTCGTTCACATCACCAATCTCCACCTTGATGCGCTGTTTCACTGAGGACGGATGGCGGAGGTCAGGTCATGGAACAGGTGACCGGTGGGGCGCCATTTGCGCTTTATGGCATACCAGTATCTCCTCAGCGACAAGATACAGCGTGTAGGTACTGTAGGCCGTGGTAGAAATGAATTATAAGCAGAAAAGCCAACCTTAACAATTAGTGTTTTATTATATATGCATTCTGCAACAAATGTTTGTACGCAGATGGTCTACTACGTAGTAACTACAGACTCCGGCTCAACTAGATTTATGCACAGGCCGAATTGGTCGACACGACAATGATGATAATCCGAAGACAAAAGAGCGTTCCATCAAAGTCTCCTCAACAAAAAGAGAATTACGGCAATAGTGAGCGTAAGTCATTAGCGCCCAAATACTAGTACATCAACATGGCTACTGATTACGGCTGCATTATTTACTGCCGTAATCCCCACCACCAGCAATAGCGTATTTCCCAGCATAATGCTGGGTAGAGACGTATGTACATACATGAGTCGAGCTGGACCGGAAGACGAGCCTTGCCATACTTGTATACTACGACACGAATCTCACCATACCTGTACTAGGTCAATACGTGTCCCACTATTCCAATGTTTGGTCAAAACATACCCCATCACACCTTTGTTACGCCGCTTTATAATATGTCCCATCACACCTGCCTCAAGTCAAGCCGAGTGTCACCATACCGCGTTGGCTCGACACGAGTTCCCTAACCTATGCTGAGTCGAGACACCTCCCACTTTACCTGTATTGGGTCGAGACATCTCCCACCATACCTATATTGGGTCGAGACACCTCCAACCGTACCTGTATTGGGTCGAGAAGTGTTGCGGATTCCTGACGGCGCCCCGTCCTCCGCCACCACAGTGACAGTGTAGAAGGGCGATGGCCGAGACAGGTCTTCCCGATCGAAACGCTCCCGGGTCTTGATCTCGCCCGTGTTCGGGTCGATGCTGAAGAGCTTCTCTTCTTCCGAGTTTGGCTCGAAGCGGTAGGTCACCTGTGGGGAGAGCGGAGGGGTCAGCGGGAACGTTCATATGAGGGTTATCGAAACGCGTGCTGTAAGAAATATACGCCCAATGTGAAAGTGGAGGAGGATGAGGGTTGAGAGATAATGAAACTGTTCACGGGTGTAGTGAGAATATTGAATGATGTTAACAGTCACTTTCACGGCCCGGCCCATTCACAGGCCACACATCAGTGACCCGGAGGGCTGACACATCAGTGAATCAATGACCCTGACACACACGTCGCTCAAGTGACCTTGACAGTTGGCACACCAGTGTCCTGTGTAGCCCTGACACACAATGTCCTTGACCCTACCAGGCACAGCGGTAAAACCCGCCCGCTCCAGTACCGACCCTATGTCGTCGCGTGCCGCGCAAACCGCCAATACCAGACTCATTAATGTAATACGCCGTGCTGGTGGACGGTATTATGTTAATTACTGTGTCATCAGTGGTCTTGGTATTCCTCAACACAAAAAACAACACGGCCTCAAAATTGACGGGTAGGTGTATTTGTGGTTTAGTATGATTGCACGTAGTGCAAAAAGTGGAGTTTTGAAGGCCATTTGCTGGTAATGCCGATGCAGAGATGTATGTTATTAGGAGAGAGATTACTGTATGCCTGGCCTATTCAAATACATTAGCCTGAGGGGTGTGGTAATAACTGGTGTAAGCAAAGTGACCACGGTCAAAAACGAATTACCAAGTCAACATTTTGGGATGGCCTCGTTCAAAAAATGGCTAAGAGCTTCGGTCTAGACAATTATTTTATCGTTGGCATACAGTAAAATACATACCAAACTCGGCCGGTGATAAATTTTGAAGACCTCAGTCCTTACTGATTTTTGAACTCGGCCTTCGGCCTCGTTCAAAAATTCAGTAAGGACCTCGGTCTTGAAAATTTATTTACACCGGCCTCGTTCAGTATTGTATATTACCACTAGCGTGTTCCTCGCAGTCGTGTTTGCCGTTCTGTCGATTGTTGATGACAGTGGGACTCCTATCGACGGAGGGTGATGACGGCCCACCGGCAAACACCGTGGTCCAGAGCCGCAGCATTGACTCAGAGAATGACGTGAACTGTATATCGACCAGGGGTTATGTACCTTATCGATTGACGCAAAATATGGATCAGTCAGGTAATAAGACTATGTTTATATAGAGGAATCCGCCTCTACTGGCAAATCTGTACACACAAGACATACTTCAAGGGCTAGATGTTGCTAAACATAGACACATCATCTTATGATATAAATATTATCGAACTTAAATAAGCTTATCAACATTCACAGTCCAAAGTCGTCCTATTATCATATCATAGCCGTCCGCTTTCCCTTCAAGCATTAACAATCGCTCAATAACCATCCCTTCTCTCACACTAAACAGCAAAACCTACATTAATACAATTGATACCACAGCTCTTCCCCCTCCCATACACACCTGATTGTTGGGCGCCGTGCCGTCCTTGTCGATAGCCGATGTTTTGGTGACGTAGGTGCCCGGCTCAGAGTTCTCCGGCACCGTCACCGGGTCCGTGTTGTAGAAGATGGGTACCTCGTCGTTGGAATCCTCCAGGTCGATACGGAACGTGACCTCGGCGCCCGTCTGCTGGTCCGTCTGTGGAGGGTCAGGAAAGGTCAGATGGGGTCACAGGTGAGCTGAAGTGATGGATGCCTGGACAGGACAGGAGAGGAAGATCAGGGAAGGAAAGTCAGGGCAGGGAAGGATAGGACAGGATAGGACAGGGCAATGCAAAAAGGTCCAGCAGGAGAGAGTGGGGTAGGGTAGGGTAGGACAGGGTAGGGTAGGACAGGGCAGGACAGGACAGGACAGGACAAGACAGGGCAGGCCTGGGCAGGGCAGGGTAGGACGGGGCGGCGAGGGTCAAGGGTCAATCAGGGTCAATGTCTAACTCTTCTTAGGTTAGGAATTATAACGTCATGTCAAGACAAGGTAAGACCGGGCAGTTTAAGAGCAGTCTTTGTTTATGCATGCTTCGTTACGAGCAAACTAGCAGACTTTCTACAGCATTGGCTTGAACCGCTGTTCTGCTAAGGTACTGAAAACAAAATGTTGCAAACTTTACAATCTAATTTTCATTCTAAAAATACCCTCCACCTGAAGCTTGTGTGTATAATAACCGTGAAATACAACGAAACTTGTATTATTTAATTACAGAGTGGCACAGGTTTCGCAGTCATTTAGAGAAGGAACTACAGTCATTAGCAACTTGGAGCGCCTTTTAACGGCATTGTCATAATCATACGGTTCAACACTGCAATCTCCACTAACTACAACTGAGCATTCAGGGCCCATAAGCGCCTCTGGGAAGGCGAGGTCGACATGAAACTGACCCAGAGGTCACCGGTCACCGAGGCCGGCTTAACTACAAAACCACGGAAATTCTACGGAAATTCATCATTAACATGACATCGATGGTGAGTAAGCGATATTCAAGGGGAACGGTATTGAGACCACTCGTTAAAGGTTCTAGTTTTAGCATAGCTGACTGTTCTAGACGTTCCATAGTTCTTTTGCGTGGACATAGTCCATAAAGGGAACTTAAATGACTACCGCGAGTCCTTCCATGATCCATCCATCTTGATTGTTAACCAAGGCCCAGTTTAAAATAAGGAATGATATTTCTTTCGTCCCCCAAACACCTGTTCTATCAACATGTCAAACCGTCTATATCATCCCATAAGATCCGATCATCACAAGGGGACCTCCTAATCCCGTGCTGGTACCGCACATTGTCACCCACCTCGAGGGGTTTTCAGGCCGTCCAACTCCAACCAGACACTATCCAATGACATCATCGACTGACAATGACGTCATTACCCACCGTCCAATGACTGTCGTTTGCGGGCGTGAGCTGCTACTGTCGCGAACATTAGCTGTGTTCGACAGGCATCGCAGTAATAACGGAACACGTCAGGTGGGCGTTTAGCCCTGCGTTGAGTAGGAACCGGCAGAGTGGGGAAACCACTCCACCAAAGGGGGAGCTGTCACCAAGGAGGGGGGGGGGGGACCTGAGGCCCGCCGCGTCAGGGGGCCAGCTCAGGTTCACGGGTCGCTGATTCAGTAATCGTTCGGTCTGTTCTATGTACTGCATGACTGAGTTTGGTGTCAACAATGTTTCGTTTGATCCAGCACGAAGCGTATTTTATGTGAATAATTCGTAACACAACGAAAAAGCAGTACGTTCCGGGCATCCATCTCCAATAATGAGCCTAAATTACGCTTTGCATATTCGTCAGGTTGTAAATTGACTCGTTCAATTATGACCAATTCGTGAGTGCTGAAACCCTAAACGATAACCAAATAAAATCACTCACAAGCCAGCATAATGAAGCATTATCGGTTTAACGATATCTCTATTGGCATAATACCGTTAATCTTTAGTTTACACTGCGTATCAGCACAGCAGCCTGAGTGGTGCGGTAAATCACGCTGTGATTTTCGGACCCCGGCGCCGCCTTCTGCAGCTGGCACTGCTATACGCTGCGAACAACTCGCCGTCCCATTCTTCATGTCCGGAGCGATATATCACACAACTGCCGCCATAACCCACTAACGGCATCGAACAACCGCAATTTCGGCCGACAATGGGACACGAGCACGACCGATTTGAATACCTCCCAGCGGCAACTTTTCGACTCGCGGACTCCGCCCAGGTGGCTGCTAACAAGCACCTTCCAGACTCGCACGCTCACTGCTGACCACTAGTCTCCCCTCCCCCTTGCCCCTGGCCCCCTGGGTCCCAAGGATCCCAAAACTAACTCACAAAATAATAACCCCGAAAAGTAGCTACTTAAGACCTAGCCAAGCCAACCTCCTCTGATGTGTTTTAGTAAATGCACCCTAGCTCATCTTTCCTTGAAATCTACATACCGTGGCTCTGACAGTAATGTTGTAGCTCTCCAGCTTCTCGTAGTCGAGTTGCCGACTTCCGCCGTATTTGACGATGGCGCCACCGTCGCCGTCCTCCTCCACGACAAACGTACGGTCTCTGTTGGTCTGCTCTTGGGAGCCGGCCACAATGTCATAGTAGATGGCTGGACTGTCGGGAGAGTTGGAACTGCCGAGAGATGGAGGTGGGATGCGTCAGCCAAAAGAAGTTTATGAGCGCAGCATACACCCCTGAATAATGGGGGCATTGGTTTAGGGTTGCAGCGCAAAATTATACACTTGGTGGGACGTTTTACAGGATTCGGAATTTCATTAGCTGTTAGTCTTTTTATATTCTATTCCTGCCAGCTTAAAAGAACGGAAATAAAGAGTACAAACTCATGAATAAAAGCAGTAAAGCTACACATACTGTAACATTATAATACCAACTGCACTATAAACTGACAGACCTTCAGAAGGCGAAAATGAACGTTATTATGCTATCATGTACTTGGGCCATAAAGCCACTTGACTATACTATGTAAAAAGAAACTACAGTCATCAAATCGACAAACCAAATCGCCCATAACGATACCGTGCGTCGGTCGGTGCGGAAGCTCCTAACAAATTAACCGGTGCCCTTCTGGGAAACGTAACGGCCCGCATGGTAAGTACAAACTCCTAACGACTTCTGTCGATGGCGGTAACGACCCGGAATATATGTTCAGGAAGCTATGGAGCCTCCCCCAGCCCTCAAACTACGCAACGATGACCGAAAACTTCCAAACTTCCGGTGCATGGGCGTAGAAAATGCGCACTTATCGCACACTTTTGTGACTTGAGCAAAGTTCAAGCATGTCCTGAACAAATAGATCATCGCCGTACCTTGTCTCCACAACCAAAAGTCCAACAGAGCTCTGACTTCATAAGCCACGGTCGGCAATTTTTCACAGCCATTTGTCGCCTGTCTGAAGGAAACGTCGACCAACCACGCGCCGCGCCGGACACCCGACACAACTGGTGAAGTCGCAGCGGCAGTGAGCGTGATTTAGGACCCGGTCGGTGCAATTGCCCTCCTTCCCTCCCCTCGAAGGTCATGCGCACTTGCCTGACAACCTGTTTCAGCCCACGTTTCCCCTCCCCCTCCCATCGCGCACACTGCAAAGGTTTTGCCGGTCAACCGCGGTTGTACGTAACGGTACCTCTGTTCCAGTCAAACTGACTCGTCGTCATGGCCCTCTCCCCCTCCCAGCTCCCTAGCCCCCCCCCCCCGCCTCCCCACACACACACAACCCGAGGCTAAAATGGAGGGGCGTGTCAAGCCAGACCATTCTTCCATACAAATGGCTCACTGCATATGCAGAAACGACCCGTTAACGGTGCTAAAGGCCCTGAATCTGTAAGCGTTTTGGTTAGACTTACGTCGTGTGCGCATATTCAGGTATTTAAATAAACTATCACGCATGGTTCAGCGACAGGCCATTGTCGTCTTTTCTACTGCAGTCGCCCCTAATTTATGGGCTTCACGCAACAAATCCACCTCGAGGTCTTCCAACGCCGCTGCACTTTTACATAGCATAACTTATTTTAAAAAAAAATATTAAATTATGCATGGCTTAACTTACCGAATCCTACATCTCTACTCACGCTCCTCCATCTAAAACTTCGCATATGACGTAACACTCAAATATCATTTTAATGAGACCGCAATCGCGGTTTGACAGTGACCCAACGCTGACTTGCTATGTTCCCCTCTCATTCATACCGGCGGCCCAACTCACACTGCCTTGACGCGAGCGATGGGTGCCTCGGTGTCTCTGAAGTTCTCCGGCAGGTGGTACGTCTGATTCGGCCTCAGGATGAACGTGGGTGGCCGCGTGTTGGAGTCCTTGACGGTGATAATGACGGACACCTCGGCAGAGAGGGGGTCCGCGCCGCGGTCCCGTGCCGTCGCCGTCAGACGGAAGTCGTAGTCGATCGAAATCTGCGGAGGGTGAGGGGTGAGGAAGAGTGAGACAGGGGTCAGAGAAGGGAGAATGAGAGGAAAATGGGGAAAGAGGGTCATGGACTATATGCAGTTTCAGGAACGGTTGAAGAAGGAAGCAATCGCATAGCCAGACAAAATAAAAAGTCATAGCTCAACGAAGAACAGCCTTTGTACATGACTAGCCTTTGCACGTCGTGTCTTTCGAGTAATCATCAGTTGACAGTCATTTGCTTGTGCAATACGCCGATAAAAATAGCATTCCATTACAACAACAAATGTGTCAGGTCATCAAAGCAAGCACGCACAGTGAGGCCCCAACGAAGCCATTATGCTGCTGCAAAGCGACATGTCATGTCTGTATTCAGTCCCGTCGTGGCGTGGTCCGAGAACACTCAGGCCAAGGGGTCGTCAGCAAACACAGTCCAGACAAGCACCGTCTTTGCACACGGCTCAGCTGTCTCATCAGTGCCAATACTGGTGTATGTGGGCTGGTGCAGAGGAGGGAGTGGAATGTGGTAAAGGGTGGGGAGCGACGTAGGGTCGGAAGCTGAGAAAGGAAAAAAGAGGGGTAAGGACGGGGAACCGGAACAAAGTTACCGTCATACCTTGGCGCCTCAACATTACAAGTAAGAGCCGAAACCCCGGCAAAAACACAACCTTCTCACACTGACCTCCAGCCGGAAGTCGGCCTGACCGTCTCTTCACCGGAGAAGCCGCCGCCCAGAGGCACCACTGGTCCCAGACCGCAGTTACGAAGTACGAACCCCCGTCCCTACCGCGCCCCATGACCAGCCCGCCCCGTCACACTCCGGTACCGCCCACGCCGACACTGGGTCAATATGGCAGCAATTTACGGGTGTCTGGAGTGGCAGCACGAGGTGCTAATGTCGCACCTTCACTGCCACCCTTCAGCAGCCAGCGGCGCGCGAGTGGCGTCCACGACACTCAGTCCGCCCCCGCGGTGCTCGAGTGCGCGGGGACGGCGCCGGGGACCGCTGACACTTGACAGTGGGATCGAGAGGGGAAATCACGGGCCAGACACGGGACGGCGATGGCTGTGTTGGATGAGAATAGCGTCGAAGGGGGTGAGAATGACGTTTGTGTATGCCAAAGGGACAATATGTATCGGGATCCACAATGAATTCGCATCGCCGAACAGACCATAACACACCATGCTTATCAATTTGGTGATTCATTTGCCTGATTCATGCATTAAATCGACCCGCATCCTGGCGGATAGTCCTCTAATTTACTAGTTCTTCATTTACGAGGTACCTGCCCTTTTTATGTCAGCTTAACGGCGAAATGATCATTCTAGTAAGGACCCGCAATGAAAGCCCACGAGGGTCATCAAATCAAAACAATTCATTAACTTCGTCGCCAGCCAGTCCCCTATACAAATTACAATCACTTCATCCATCCATATCTGCACACAATAACAAATATCAGTTACCGAACAACGACACTGAAAAATCGTGTGTTCTTCCCAGCTACACCATCGTGACTGCTGTTGCGCTATTTTCCCTCGCATCTCCCCGTTTCGTCCCTTTCACTCTCCATTCTCCATGTTCCTCCTCGCTTACTCCCCACTCTCCCCGTCCTCATTCACCCCACTCTCCCCGTCCTCATTCACCCCACTCTCCCCGTTCCGTCTCTCTAACTCACCCCTTCTCCCCGCCTCGTCCCTCTAACTCACCCCTTCCAGTCTCCTGACTAGCGTGATGACACCGGTGCGAGGGTCGACACTGAAGTACCCGGCATCGGCGTCTCTCAGTGAGGTCAGGTCGTACTCGACGGTCCCGTTCTCGTCGCTGTCGGCATCGGTCGCGGAGATTCGCAGCACGGCAGAGTTGAGCTCCGTGTCGCGAGGGATCGACTCCTGGTAGCTCTGTGGAAGACGGGAGAAAAACTCGGTCAGATCGGGCGAGTGGGAAGCATTAAGGGGAAGACTGAATGATGTAAACGGTGCGAGATGCGCTTGAGTGTTGCTATATAAGCTTGCGTGCTGATATATACGATTGTGAAACTGTTTACACATATCTATCTTATCCGCTATTACGAAAAAATTATTTTCAGCCACAAAAAAAAAATCAATAGCCATCGTCAGAATTGGCAATTCAGTTGTTTACTGTAGTATACCGATTACTCAAAGAGCCCACCGATTAACATTGCAAAGTTAAATTGCAATGCTCAACTGCAAGCACAAGGCTTCCTCAGAAGCCCAGTCTGAGCCAGCCCACCACACCTCGTTAGCTTTTAGCTGAGTTCCTAGGTAGCACAGGACATTAATATACACGGGTGCAAGCAGTCTAAGCGCTGAATTAGCCCGTATTACACACAGAATTAGCTGGTTCATCAATTACAAAATGAGTTAGACGGATTACTGGAGACGCACACTCTCATTCCCGACTCGCAGAATAGAGCCACTAAGTAGATAAGTTGTCAACCGGTAGGAACTTCCGAGACATAATAACGTCAATAATTCATTAAGAATTCCAGCGAAGAAAAAGCGGCCACAATCTTGGTCCTTTATTAACACTTGCCACGACTATCAATATTAAGGGAACGACTGCGAATAAAAAGGAAACTACCAAACAAAATATTATATGAGCCCATCAACTGTGTTATAAATCTATCACAGCGCTGCCTCGCCCTCAATTAGCGTGGCAGGGGCCATAACAGAAAACTGCGGTCATTAAGCTAATTCGGTCATTTTACAACCCATTACGCCCCACAGGAGCCATTAACAGGACCAATTCCTCACCAGCTTTCCCCGGAGACACAGAACTACGTCTCTAAATCCAAGATCTACATGCAGGTCGACGAATCTGCGAAGTCCCGCCGTCCCCGACAGGAGGGCGGAGACCGGCGTTCGACGAACTCTAACCGACACCAGCCTCGCCGGGGTATTTAGCGGTGACCTACACGGCGCACTGGGTAATTCTCATTATCCTGTCACGTAAATCACCCGGACTACATGTCCCTCTCCTCACGAACGAAGCCAGGACGTTTACACAAGTCATGCTAGCAATCGGCAACGATTTATCAAACCACCGCCTCATAGAAATTCCACAGAGGTCATTATCCCATTCGTCAACATTACTTGACGACCGTATCGGTTCCGGTAGCTCCATATCTGCCACAGCCTGAGAAAGCGCTCCGACTCGGTGTGCTAAGACTCTATTCCAGGACCGTCGTCACTGTATGTACAAACGACTAGCGTTCTGAAAAAGCCGCCGGGGTCGACGGCGCGTTAGAAACGAGTCCGTTTAGCGAGATCACCGAACCATGTCATCACGCCAGCCGGGCCGTCCAACAGTCTCGCGTGGCTCGCCCACCAGACATCCAACAAGTATTCCCGCCGGCCAAAATGTCACCGCCACGTTAAAGTTTTACGGTATGAGTGCTCTGAAGACGGGACGGGGGCCGAACGAGCGTGGTGCTCGCTCCGGCGCCGCTGGCGCTCCCCTGGGCAGCACCAGAGTCACATCAGCGGCTCAACGCATCCCCGCGGCCGCACCTGAGCTGTCACCGCAGCCTTCGGCGGGGCGACCTGAGGTGAAGTTAACCACTCAACGCGACCTGACGCAAGTCCCCCGGCGCTCTCCCGACCGGCTAGTGCCATGGTCCGCGTGTCATTGTCGACATAGCGCCGCTTGGCCGCCTTCAACTCGCATTCGCCGCCCCCACCGCCGAAATGTCGACAAAGTCGTGCAGTGACATCGACCGAGTGGGTTTGATATAGATATCAACGGTCGGTGTTCGCTCCCACAGCCTTAAAGACTGCTCAGGAAATGAAGAGACGGCGACCTTTTTTAGGTGACATAAAGCCCTTTTCTGGGCGTCATGTCAATTTGCTGCCATGATAAAAATTAGGATTAACCCTCGCCCCGTTGGGGGGGGGGGGCATTTTGGCCCCCCCCCCTGTGGTTTTTCCTGAATAGCAAGAAAACGCAGCGCCGCCAAATTTTCAGTACCTTCCCGGGCATCAATTTGACACCTTCACACCAAATTTCAAGTCTTAGGTCACCTTAGGTCAGGATTTATTGAGGTCAAACTGAGGTCATGTTCGAGCAAAAATGAGCAAAAAACATGCAATCTTGAAACGCTCACCAAATCTACAGTTATCAAGCAATTTCAAAGTTCTTTATATGGTCTTGTAGACAAAAAGTGGCGCTACAAAACTACTGTCTCGGATTTTCAAAATTTTTGGTTTTTGACCAAAAAAAATTCAAAAAATTGATTTTTTTAGAAAAACTTTGAAAAAATCCAAAAAATTTCCGAATTTCGAAAAAACCGGAATATATGTGATAGTCCCAGCTCTCTTCTATATACATACCAAATTTCAGATCGATATCTCGTTTTTTGGCCAAGTTATAGCGAAAAAACTGTTCAAAAATGATGACGTCAAATTTTCGAACTCAATTTTTAGCAATTCTAGACCACGTACGGCAAAACAAAGACCACCATTGAACTCCCCGTGACGAGCTGCATCGATTCGATACCCATTTTATGCAAAAATATTAACTTTGGAATTTGACCTAATTTGACCTGACCTTGACCTGACCTTGACCTGACCTTGACCAAAACGTGATCTAAGCTGGCCCCAAAGGCTGCCTGACCCATATAATCGCATTTGTCATGTAAAATGGACCATAAAACATGTATCACACGACACTTTCATATTGTGACCCCCCCCCCGTGACCTGACCTCTGTGACCTGACCTGGTATCAGTGACCTCAAATAGCAAAATATGTTTTTGAAGAACATTTCCCCATCGATGATTTTCAAAGAAATGCATTTTACTCGATTTTACAACGCATTTCTTGAAGTGCCTGTAAACGGTGAAAATTGGACCTTTGACCTGACCTGTGACGTCATCGGTTTGACCTAGGTCAATAAAATTGGGTCACAAGGTAGTTCCCCGTTGGGGCTATCCAACGCCGTTTACCGCTTGTCGCTATGTTGCGTGGTTCTCGAGATCTTAGGGGGGGGGCCAAAATGCCCCCCCCCCCAACCGGGCGCGTTGCTCGGCAGAGCCCAACGGGGCGCGGGTTAAGAGGCCAAACTGATCCAAAAGCCACAAGGAAACACGAAAAGTTTCATCAGCGTATACCTGGCTAACATGCCCGGACACCACGTCCTGATCATCCGAACGCAAGCGCCGCTGGTACTATGGACCAGCTAATTGAATATCGATTTTCCAGCGAGCGCATGGTGCCAAGACATGACGCCCAGCTCGGTGACTTCATGCGACATGTGACAAGAGTGACCGGGTCGATCGGTGACGATTCTGTCAGCGTATCACAGCTATAGGATAACACACCCAATGCGGATACTGGCAGGCGCGGGGTTCATTTCCGTCGTGATAAATAACCTAAGAAATACGAGAAATAAAGTAAGAAATGAATTAAGAAAAGAAATTCATTATATCACATGGAAATGAGACACTAGCAATATGAGATCATCAGACCACCCGTTCACATCAGAAAAATCGTTCAAATTTGGAGTAATCTGATGCAGAGGCAAAAAGCTGTCATCCAAAACAAAAATAAACCGGTAAATCGCAGTTACAGCTTTTGTAAACACCCAACAAATTAAGCACGGTTTTATAACAAATGACTCCCCTTAAAAAAGCAATCTCTTAAAAAAGCAATCTCTGAACACGATCAACAACTAACGGCAGCACAAAGTAAGACGTCGCGACTGACGTGATCTCCTCGTCAAAGGTCCGGATCTGTGGCGGCTCACTGCAGACCGTCATCACTCAATCCGTGCCCCGTCTGCCGTCCGGTGCAGTGAAATGTCAGCGAGCATGGGTACCCGTCACCAATATATCAGTAGAAGGCCACAAGCTCGGCACGTGGCTTCAAGACGGGAGGTGATGGACGAGAAAGACGGACGGATGGAGCGATAGAGGTGATGGGTGAATGAAGAGAGGGACAGAGGAATTGGAAATGGGAGGGAGAAATTAAGAGCGAGAGTAAGAAAGAGGCCACTAAGGCAAGGGGCAGCTAGAGAGTGGATGTCTTCTATTGTAATGGCTAAAAGCTGCGGAATATAAAATGATTGACGTGTAACTCACTCTGAGTCGGGACCGAAGGTGGAAGGAGAAGGCCGCAACTAGACCGATCTAGACCCCCTAACCGCATCCTACGAAGTGCCACCTGATCACCATCCCCAATCACTGTCCCACTGAGTTTACTGCACAGTGCACAGCCCCGAGCGTCGCACGATGATGAAATGGACCCCTCCGTGCCCCGGGACCCACAGCCAATCGGCTGATTGCGCCCTAAAGACGGTGATATAGCGCCCTGACGGGGTCATCCAGTCGCGTTCCTGATTGGTGGTAGCGTCACAAAACGCCGGGTAATTGAAGTAAACATATACACACTGTGACTGGACTGATTTTTGTGCCGCTAATACACATGTCTGTCTATGTATTGTCAATGAGTCATGACATGATGACGTCTTACTGAGCATCGTCGTTATATGTAACATCACCATACATCGACTGCTTTAGCCTAGCAGATATGGCAATTATTGGCACCCTCACCATCACTTCTGCAGACAGCTAAGTATCAACAAACCGATATAGGCATGTATGCATCATTTCCTGCATTACTAGATACGAACACAAATACGTACATTATTCATACTAAGTGAGACGAATCGTGCCCCTGGCGGACGTCCGTACCAGGCTGGAGATGGTGGAATAAGTGCCGGGTCACACTGCCGTAATAGTCAGGCACAGCGCGCACCGGCTGTCAGACATGATAAAGCGCCACGAATGCCGCGCTGGCGCCGATAATCGGCCGCCGGTCACCTATCCGGAACACACATGTCGTACCCTACATCCTCGTCGGATTTAGTAATAACGTCGTCACGATACGCCGGCGGTACACCACAGCACGCACACGCTGCCGCTCACGGTGGCGTGCGCCGTAGGGTGGCAGTTGTCCGTGGGGCTCGCTGTTGAATTGTGACAAAGCCTGACGCCACGACACCGAGCTGCAGAAGGGATTAGCCATGCAGCCGCTGCGCAATGAAATATGAATTATCTGAAAGTCATTTGTCGCTGGAGGTGCTACAAAACCTGCAATGATGTGGTGACAAGTGACAGCGCTTGTATATTTTAACATCTCGAGCTACGTCCTCCTGCAATAACTGTAGATGGCATCTAGCTTCCGGTAGCTAAAGCAAATCATCATGAATCTACCAACAAAGTAGTAGCCGGGAACAAGCTATCTATGACAGCCCAAATGCTCGCGTATGCACAACTGTTGACGGGGAACAAGACCAGCTGCTAACATCTTGGTTCAAAACACCCTGACTCAATACTGGAAGCCTTCTGACAAAATAAAGCATGGATGAATCATGCATCGTATGAAAAACACGTTGATGAACAAAAAAAAAAGAGCTTACCATACCTACAGTTTTGATCGATACCAGCCCATTGGGAATGGGAACAGACATGACGTTTGGAATTTGGATCATGTCGTCTTATGTCCACTGAGGTCTGACGAATGGTCTCATTTCGGGAGAAATTACTGACTTTGCAGCATATGGGATGAACATATCATAACAAGTTCAACAAACCACACGAGGCTGTGGTGAATATGTACCTTCTTCAGATTGTTTATGCTGTTAGCCCGCAAATAGGGAACCGAGTGATGTGTTCCAGTCATACCACAGCCGCCACGGGTTGTCCGTGTTTATATGATCAAAGGACGTGACTATCAACTGGAGCTGGACCATGATTGGACGAGATATGGGGGGGAACCCCCAGCATATCAGCGACTTTCGCGCTGTTACAGTGAGCGGAAATGGCCATTAGGATGGGTTCGGTGACGCCGAGGGTGAGGTCATTCACCAGCTTCGATGCGTGGTGGCGTCAAATTAAATGATGAAACACCGTGTTTCGCTGTCAAATGTCGTGTCGAAATTTTGTGACCTAGCGTGGCCTAGGTACCTTAGGCTCCGTAACCTAGTTAGGACACCTTTAGCATGCATTTATGAGTGTGTAAACAAAAAAAAAACTGAGCGAACTCGTTGTGACTTGTTAAAGGGACCCTCCCACCTTAACATTAGATTTGAGTTGAGATAGCCAAAATGGGGTCCCTGGCTCACAATTACCGGTTTCGGCACTCACAACATCGAGAAATGCCTTAAATCGGAAATATTGAATTTCAAAATTGCAGCATTTTGATTCAGAGGGGCTAATGCATAGGAATACCCCTCTGAATGTGTGACGTCAGCGCAGATATCTAACGATTTTTAAATGTTTAACTAAAACGTTTTGTAGCACGCGATGGTATATGCTGCTTTGCGCGCAACAAATGCCGCACTTTCAAATAAAGTCGCTGGGAACAGCGGAGATCCCAAAAAGTAAACAAAAGTAAATGTCTAATATCTTGAAAACCGGTGAATATTTTTCGATGACATTTGGTAGATATTCGTTTTTGCTCTTTCTGAACCGAGCGACATCACTTTCATGCCAATTCATTAACTTTTTTGAAGGTGGGAGGGTCCCTTTAAGCGGCGGTCAGAGTCCGAGTTGTAGCATGCCAAAATGTAGATAATTTTTGCTTGGATCTGACATGCCTGGAAGTAAATTTTCGCATGCTATTCTGATAGTTCATGTGCGAGGTTTTAAAATACCGTTTCAATTTTGAAAATCGGTCGGTAACTTTCCCAGGGCTTAGGGAAGGGCCCAAAATGCCCTCCCCCCCCTATACGGGATACGGGTGGCGGTGTCCGCGGGCCGCGGGGAATACCCCTATTTATACAGAACGCGCTGACAGCGAGGGGCTGGTCTGTGTCACTGCCCACTGGCTCAAATTCCAGTCGCATCAACACTAACAGGCGGCGAGTCATGCGCCCTCTAAAGGACAGCACCCCCGATGGATGAGGCAGTCTACCACTCAGCGCCGTCCAGGGTGGTGGGTAGAACACTTCATCGCGCGAGTTGCAGGAAGCATCTGGAACACAGGCCGGCTGCGAGAGCCAAACAGAAGATGAGACTGTCTCCCCTCCTAGTGATAGTTGCCGCAACGCTCGGTGAGTCTTTTAGTACTTGGTAGGGTCTCACAGCTCATACAATTACGCTTGGTCTGACGCCTAAAAAAAAACTCGGCTTCCAAACAACTGATATCATAGACTGGGTAAGATAGACACTGAGACCATAGATACTTACTAGAGATGTCAATCGAATACCAACTTTTTGGTAAACCATAACGGATAGGTACAAGAGCAATACCAGCTTGGTATTTGGTATTTCAATCCTAATGTTTTTGGTATGTTGTTAGTGTTATGAATCCTCACTAGTGTACGTGTATAAGAGGCAATGAATTTGGAAAAAAGTTAATATTTTCCGGAATTCCCAATTCCCTTTAGTTTCGGTATACTCCCATGGTTTTGGTTGCTATTTGGTTTGGTATCGGTATCCTGATTTTCTGTAATTGACATCAATGACCTTCAAGACCGAGCGGCGGCCATTTCCCAAGCAGTGACTTTGACTCCATGTAACAGGTGTAGAGTCAATGACCATGACTTCGCGACGCAGCATTGATCGCAGCGCCGTGACAAGCAGTGGCCGTGGCTGACCCCACGACACTGCAATGGCCGTGACCCCGGGTCTACAACGGTGATCTGACCCGTGACATAGCAGGGAACGTGACCCTTGTCAATCAGTAACTGTCACCTATGATATGGCAGTGACCTTGACCTATGACACAGCTGTGACATTAACTTCATGACCCCATCAGTGGCCAGGACCTAACAAGTCAGTGAGCGCGACAAATTGGCACGTCAGTGACCGTAATCGGAAAATACAGTATAACTCGCGTAGTGACTTATGCTGTATTTCTATTTTCTGTGCCTCCTAATTCCTAGTGACCTTGATCACCGAAGAGTCACTTGGTCACTGAGTTCAGCCTAAGACCGGCCAGTGACCCGTGACCCTGTGCCGCAGGCGAGGCGTGGGCTGGCGCATGTGGCGAGCAGCAGTACGGCCGACTTCCGCCTCTGCTGGTCACCACTGCTGAGACACCCACCGTTTACGCCTGGCCTGAGCAGAAGGTCGAGCTCCACTGCCGGCCGTCCCAGGCCGGCGGCTGTCGGTGGCTGAAGGGCTCCAGAGAGCTGGGCACCGAGTGTCGTCTGAGCACCACTGAGCGCGGCACGATACGGTGTGTCCGCGGAGAGGAGACGTGCGGCACCGTCACAATAAAAAACCCGAACAATCAGGCCGTCGAACACACCTACAAATCCTACCATCAACGCAATAGTTACCACTACAGACGCAGCCATCAATATTGGGACTACAAAGGCGAGACTAGATGGAACCGCAAGCCTTCGACTTTTCTATGTTCCCGGTCGGGCACCATCATTCTCAAAAGCAAGGTGTGTGATGGTATCAGAAAATGCAGCAAAGGTGAAGACGAATGGCACTGCTCGCCGCCCTGCGGACCGCCATATGTGAGCGAGAACACCAAGCTCTCCGATCCAAAGGAGGAGTACCCGGACGGCAGTCACGCCACCTACATCTGCGAGAACGGTTTCAGTCTCGCCGAGTCTCTGAGCGGGCTACGGAGGACGTGCCGCGCCGGCCGGTGGGACGGGGCCGCGCCCGTCTGCCGACGCAATATCGCCCTGGGACAGCCCATCACCGTTACTGGTTTGCCGATGGCAGACTGCAAAGTCGCTGTGGATGGCTCGCTAGACACCTGGTGCATGCTGGCACCCAGCAACGGCCCCAAGGTCCTGGCTGTCCGCCTGGTGACTAACGTTACTGTGGAGAGGGTACTGGTGCGCGCGATGGGTACACGCTACACCGTGGCGTTGCGGCCAGTGAACCAGACCAATAACGAAGTCGACTGTCCGTGTCAGGAGCTGAGTAGCGACAAAATAACGCTATCAGTGTCTGGAGTGAGAGTCTGCGTCTGCCCCGAGCAAGCGTCGACCGTCGGGCAGCTCGAGGTGCGGGTGTCGGCCGAGACAGGCGCCTTCCTGGCGCTCTCAGTGGCAGACGTCGTGGCGCTGGGGAGGTCCGATGATGATAACGGGGACGCGTGTGCACTCCTTGGTCAACCAGCACACGGACGGTACGAGCCGGCACAGACGGGCACTGTCAAACTCTCGTGCGACCCGGGCTACACCCCGTCCTGTTCCGACTCTGTCCGGTGCTCCGACCTACAGAGCGGTACCGCCCGCCTGAGCTGCTTGGCCGCAGAATGTCCGTCCCCGCCCGCCATCCCCAACACCAAGACCGGCCCGAAGAACGGCACCGGCTGGCGCTCTGTGGTCGAGTACAGCTGCGCCGCCGGCTACGCCCTGTACCCGTCCGAACAGAACACTACCTCGACATGCGACTCGGACAGCCTATGGTCGCTCGGACACATCTCCTGTGTCTCCGAGACCGATATCCGCGTGGTGGCCATGCGGCTGGGCGAGCAGCACGAGCGCAGTATGGCCGCGCTGCGTGCGGAGCTGGAGACCCCGCTGATGAACCTGTTAGCTGACCAGAAAAGCACCGAGCAGCGGCTGAGCAAGCTGGAGCTCAGCATGGCCGCACAGCGTGCAGAGCTGGAGACCCTACTGAAGGGCCAGCTAGCTGACCAGAACAGCACCCAGCAGCGGCTGAACAAGCTGGAGCGCGAGGTGGCGCGGCTGGGACTGGCCGCCGGAGCGTACCTGCCCGCTCAGGAGAGAGATCCGACGGAGGACGCTACTGAGCCCGCACCCGAGGAGGAGGGTGTGACACAGACTCCAGAGGCAGGGATAGACCGCGCTGTGGTCACCAGTCCCGAGCAGCAGTCGGATGGCGCCGCGGACTCCGAGGAGCTGGGAGAGGGGACAGCTGAGACCACCCCGCCGTCAGACGTGGAGCTGATCCCTTGGATTTACTGATCCATCCACAGACACTCGCATCCTTCTCTGAACCGTGAATTGTGCCGCCCTGAAGGGTCACCATATCCGACCTGAGAGGTACCCGGCGCGCTTGCCAGTGGTTCGTGGTTTCTGTGCGGGAACTAAAATACCGCCATCCACTAGCCGCCTGCCACGCACAGGACGGAGGTAACCCTATACTGCTGACTTTCCTGAACCTTCATCGCGATGAAGGTTCAGGCCCAATACTCCCGCGGGAGTATTGGGCCACAATTGTGAGTTTACATCTTGCCCAGAGGCGTCTCCAGGGATAGTTTCCGGGAGGCATGCTTTCGCGAAGCATCTGCTTCGCAGACATTCGCCGCCTCGCCAGTTATTTTGTTTGCATCGGCAGTGTTGTGGCTGGATTGGCTATGCCGCGCAAATATAATATATTGTCGTATATTAGGTACACTCTGTGAGGTGGGTGACGTCACTTTGTAATGAAACTGACAGGGGCGGATGTACAGGAGAACTGGGGAGGGGTTATTTGATAAAATGTAAATTGTGGTAAAAGTGAGTACGCCTCGACCAGTTGTTACATTTTTATCCAACACCGACACAAAACCGATACTGTTGACACGTTTATGGTGCTGAAATGTAATGTAAACGTATGCATAGGTGGATTCAGGCAAAGGAAATAACTAGGAGCGTCACATGGGAAAGTGAGAAACATAAGAAACAACTCAAAGCGCCACTAGGTACGGTAACCTCTGACAAGACGTAAAGCAGGTGCCTACCAGTACCAGGCGACTGCTGCCAGTGCTGAGGCCGGTAACCGGTGGGCAAAGAGGTATTTGCTCAACTTGAACCCAACTAAACTAGCTGCCGATGTAACATAAACCAATCGATAACTGGCTTCAGTGTGAGCACGATTCGATATAAGCTCACGATCAACCAGACGACGAAGAGTGCTTCACCGCCGGTGCCTTCATTCACTTCGGAACACTTAGCACGTGTGAAAAGCCACAGTCAGTGTCTCGCACCCATGTAGCACCAGCCGCGCCGCAGCGGGGCAGACCTCACGCGCGTCCCTGTTGACACGCTCGGAGCACTGCAGAGTCAGACGCGTGCGGCCCCGTTTGGCCATATTGGACGACACGCAATATGCTGGGCACGCAGGGGCCACCGGTAAGATCGTGCCAGGAAGTTGAAGCCGAGTGACGTGGCAACAGAATAGGTTGTCGACTGTGAGGCGACTTGGCGTGACTTCCGACAGAACTGGCGGCCAGGTGGCTGGATAAAACATTGATCTTTGACCACAGAACATCACCCATAACTGCAAGCATTACAGCTTACGCGTTACTGTTACGCATCCCCTTGATAATATTCCTACTAACATTAGAAACACCGATATTGATGGCGCCGCCACAACAAGCCACCAACAACGCGACTTAAATCCTAAGTAAGATAGGTACTCACGCTCTCCAAAAATATGAAATGTATGAATGACCCACACACGTCTTCCCTCTAACTCACCGACTCACCGACCCGTCATCACTAACCGATTCATCTTCAAACTCACCGACTTGTCGAACATGGGATGGTTGTCGTTGACGTCTCGCACGTTGACGACGAAGGCGCACGTGCCCTCCAGCGACGGCGAGCCCCTGTCGTTGGCCTTGACGATCACTCTCAGCTCCTTCTCGTGGTCCGGCTCGTCACGATTGAACACCTGTGACAGGTCAAAGGTCAAAGGTTGTACACCTGTCGCAGGTCAAAGGTCAAAGGTTGTAAACATGTGACAGTTCAAAGGTCAAAGGTTAAACACCTGTGACAGGGCAGAGGTTGGAAATTAAACACCTGTGACAGATCAGAGGTTGAAAGTTAGACAACTGTGACAGGGCAGATGTTGAAAGTTAGACATCTGTAACAAGGCTGAGGTTAGAGGCTAGACACCTGTGACAGGTTAAGAGTAAGAGATCGCTGATTGAATACCTATGACAGGTCAGAGGTCAAAGGTTGGGCAGCTAAAAGAGGTAAAAGGCTAAATGCCAAAGGTAGATGAAAGGGTCTATTTCGTTCGTTCGTTCGTTCATTGGGGTTTACGGGCGCGTCGACTGCGGTGGTCATTTTGCGCCCAGATGAAAGGGTCTAGAAAGGGTGGGAAAGATCACTAACCCGTCAACGGGCCCGTCGGACGCATAAACTATGTACCAGGTTGTTTGTCCAGCAAAATGATCAAATATCGCACATCAGAAAAAAAAACTTATTTCTCTTCTGGTTGGTGTGACCGAGGCATGCACGAGTCATTAACAGTGAAAGCAGAAAAAATGATGCTGCAAGATAAAGCATAACAACGATAACTCCATTCCAAGGAGCTGAGCCAACACTGTTGACAGCAGCAGTAAATATCTGATACGGCGGACCGACGTGAAAGCTCCCGTGAACAGCGCTGCCACACGCGCGGACGCGATCGGCAGTAACTTTGTAAGCCGGTGTCGGGAATGATTGGCTGCAGGAGCTCACAGCCAGGCGTCGGTCCGCCACGCATGTGATCAATCACGGCATTTACCGTGTCGAAAGGAGACGGCTGCTGGAAACCTGAGCAGGGGATGATCAGTGAAAGCCGAGCAACACACGGGTTGTACGCCAATGCATGTAGTGTAATATTACTCTTCAATAAAACATGGATGTGGTGCTACTTAGAACAATTAACTTGGAGCATGTCATTCCCTCGCCGCTATTATACGAATTGGCCTTTGTAAACACACTACCTTGCATTGTCTACAAGAAGTTACGCGAAAATGATCGCGTATTTATGACCAACTGAACTGTCCCATGAGCTTCGACTGAAGATCGATGTTACTTGGTGTGGTGACCTTTATAATGATAACAGACAGTCAGCGGCTTCAATATCCATTAGCGGCTGCTGACGCCCGGACAACCAGCTCAGGAGTCAGGACATGACACGTGCCTATTCAGGCCGCACTTAGTGGAGGCTCGCGATCCGACGCGAGACACGAGCCATCAGTGATAAAGGCGCTTCGGTTTATTGATCAGTGAAGGTGACCGGCCCAAAGCGGTACATTTTACCACCCGTTCGATGGATTATTGGAGTACATAAAGCATGCAAGGCGTCCTCAAACATCCATTAGCAGTACAATGCCGACATAGATCTTGACCCAGTGTTGAAAAGCTGCAGTTAATCGCGCCAATGGTAATTAATTCATGAACCAGGCCGGCGGCAATTTATATCGCAATTTGAGGTCGCGTTATCATGATGGCTCGACAAACATTGAAGTTCCGCGTAGCAGTATGGTTAATTGTTAAGTGTTCACCAAATATGCAGCTAATAGAGGAATAAAATATTTGAAGGTTGCAAGGCATGCTATGATATGCTTCCCAGGTTGCCCGACGCATGACATAGGTATCCACATCCACGAAAAAGTCATGTGCACCCAGAAACACTGCTTTAATAAACGTACAGTTAATTATACATAAGGAGTGAGATAAAAAAGAGGAAGAAGAAGCGAATCATGAATACTACTGCTAGTAAGACGTCTGCTCCTTTTTTCTTCCACTACCTACCTCCTACCATCGACTCCTATCCAAGCAATGTACCCTCCCTTCTGTAGATAGCGTTAGTGAGCCTGAAACGCCGTACTCGTAGCAATTTCCTGTCTCGACAGGTCTGTTTCCGCCTTGGCCTTGCGCCGGAGGGGGGGGGGGCGGACGGAGGGGGGGGGGCAGCGCGGCGGTATGGGGGTCAGAGACGCGTCACGCAGAACGTCACCTAGCCGTCAGGGCCGACAGTTCACTCGCCGTGTGATTACAGAGCGCGTACCGCTCGGACGGGCACGCAGACACCTCGGTAAATCAGGGCACCCGCAGTGAGACCCGGCCGGAGCGCTGCATTCAGCCCGTGTGGCATGCAGTTCCAACCGCTAAATCATTACAATGAGCGCGCGAAATGGAGAATGGTCGACCTGCCGACCTGGTCCGAATAAATAAGCGAGGGTCATCGGAGCCTGCAGCCTGAGTTAATTTAATCAAAGAAAGAAATGATAACATTATATAACCTGCATTGAGCCTTTGACTCATTGAAGCAAGCATGAGGAGGCATAGTTTGCAATATGGTATTCCATACCAACTTCCAAGAATGCATTGAGGAGCGTAGTTCTGCGTTGAATTGAGACCATGATGCAACGATATCGTGCATTCACACAGCCATTCAGCAAACAGCTTTAAACAATGTAACTTCTTCTAGGAGCGCTGCTTTGTATAGATACTGATTACTGATAAACGGGTAGATCTGTACTTCGCTACAATACTGCAAAATGACTGCCAAAAAATTACAGTACACTGACACCTTAGTAAAAAGGCGAGCACTAAAAAAAACTTGGAGCAATGTGAGCCACTATCTTTGATCTATCTAAGAATTAGAAAGGCACTATCGGGTAAGCTTATTTTAAACAAACAGATGGCATGGTCCTATCACTACTCACAGCCTAATGCACGCTGCACCAGCCCTACCAGCATTGCGGTACAGTATACCACTCAGGCGTTTGTCGCTAGCGACATCTAGACGCAGAGATACGAACTTGTGTCGTGCGGTGCAGTGTAACTTCAGGCGTTGACCACTAGCGACATCTAGCCACCGGGACTGGTACCGAAGCACGCGGCGCAATAACAAACGCTCAGGCACAGGTTTCTACCACTGTTACATAACTTGAATGCATAAATAAACATGCTAACGCAGCGTTATGCAGGGTTCCTCGTAGGTTTCTGGATTAATTACATAAAGCAATTCAATTCAATTCAGTCAATTCACAATTCACAAATTACAATCCAGTCATTCAAAACCTTAAATGTAACATGAATAGGTATCTCACAATGTTTTGAAAACATACAAAAGAAATGATAGATAAAATATGTTTATTTATGAGCTAATGCAAATAATATGCTGGCATAAGAAGGAGCAATAACTTACTCTATACCTATCTAAATTATTATGATATAGTCGAGCACTGCATTGGGTGAATACCGAAATCATGAACAGAAATTGTGCAAATATATCAGGCACACAGAAAATCCAGTTAGGAAAATATCCCATCATAAAGCCTGTCGGCATCCACCCACCTTCAGAGTGGTGAGCTGTCCAGTGGTGCGATCGATATCGAAGAAGGACTCGGGCGAGCTGGGACTGGTGACCAGCGAGTACTCGACCTCAGCGTTCTCGCCTTTGTCCGCGTCAATCGCCTCCACCTGAACACACAGAGGTCAGAGGCATTGGTGACCGGGGTGACCACCCAGATGACACAGAGGCACAGAACACATGGATGGACAATTGTTACTGATGTTAGCAAATAGCCATTCCTTCTGCCAAACTCATTAGGTATAGCTTAGCTGATGCAGAGAACAGCAGAATTTTCGCGCTGGGCAGGAGCATGCATGCAACAGATAAAAACATCCTTGTGCCTATGCATTCCTTCGCACGCTTTTTCATAATTAACAGAGAAAATCCACTGGTATGAAGTGCAACCCACCCCTGACAGGCAAAAGCCGTCAGAAGCAATCCCGGAACTTTTTCAATTCCGGAGGGGAAGTGAGCGGCTGCCTCCCTCCTCCCCGGGGTGTCAGGAAGCTGAGCCGGGGATCGGACGCTCGCCTGCTGAGCTCTCCCCCTATATCAGGAGAGTGGGGAGGCGGAAAGATACCTCAAGGGAGGGAGGGGAGCGTGTGTCATCATTGCCCAACTAATACACCTACTCAGACTCCGAGAGGGGTTGCACATGGAGGAGGTGCCACCGATAACATAAATAGTGTTGTTCACGCGTTGATATTATCCATGAAAGCTAGACTAAAAATAGAAAAAAACGAACAAATTCCTCGAACATGGGAAAAGTGTGACAAGAAACACATACAACATTCATGGTTTTGAAGAAGCCAACATTAAACCGCAATGGCAATAGCCGCCACAATCGCACTACCTCGATCATAAAACTGCCTCGCTCTCTCATTAAATATTAATTTTCTTACATCGGCCTCAGGCAGTCCTAATCTTAGAAGGGTGCATGCTGCACGCGAGTAATAAGAGGCAAAAAAATTCAATCAAATTAGAGAGAACCGCGATAAATAGAGACCACTAGGTTCCCACCAACTCTCCCCAACCAAAACACAAATCTACCTTCCTACTACGCAGCACCCCCTCCCCCCCCCCCTCCGCGTCCCGCCAGCCACTCATACATCCAACATACATCAATTCCATTCCACCTTACTATCACCGCACGATAAATATAGACCCAACTAACGAGAATACGGAATACCGCCAGCCACTCATACATCCAACATACATATCAATTCCATCTCACTTTACCAACACCGCACTATAAAAATAGACCCAACTAACGAGAATACGGAGTAACCAAACACTCGACTAGATCACCACTAACCTGAGTGGTTTAACCCTATTTGATGCACCCTCATCCCGACTGGACAGCAAACTGCTCGCGGTAACGACATGAAGCAAATTAACGGCCCCCAGGTAAATTGAACAACACTCAAACAATCGTGCCAATCACCGTGTTGCCCACGGATATCTGCCCCATAAACGCGGTGGATGCGTCCCGAATTCGGTGAGTGTTATCCACACAGCAGGCGCTGGCTGTCCATTGCTCGACGCGGCACTGACAGTGGCTGCCACCACGGCTGTCAGGTGCGGCAATTAATGACAGAACAATCCGACAATGTCCATGGACCATGAATCCAGCAAGGTCAAGGTATGGTGCGGTACGGCGCGGTGCGGTACGGCACGGGACGGGACGGGACGGTACGACATTGTACGGCACGACATGGTACGGGATGTCCCGGCATGGCAAGGGACGGCACTAATACGGTACTGTATTGCTTACTTTGCTAAGATATGTTACCATAAGATTATATGTTTCCTACACGGAAGCATACGATACGACACGCTACGCTATATCGCGGTACCGATTCTCACCGACTCAATGTTACGATGTAGTCAATACGACTTGACAAGACGCAATATGATATTATATAACACGATACGAAATATAACTGGTAACTCGAGCGTAATAACAGGGAGACTGGTATGTAAGGAGCGTAAGGGGGAGGAGTCACAGTAACTATTTCCAGCCGTCAGTATGACATGGCCTTAATCAGCTGATACAATCATATATCAGAATACAAAGGGCCCGGTGGCAATCCATGCAGTTGACTGGCCTACAGGACAATGTCCCAAAATTTGTCGATTTGCGTGGGAAACGACATCCAAATGAAATTCATTTTTCACTCTCACCAGCAATTTTTAAGAACAATTTTCCACTCCCAACCACGAAAACCTAGAATGTTTACCTATAAAAAGAGCAGCTGTGTGGATGCCCGGTTTAGCATCAAACATTCTACACCCTAGAATAAAATGCCTGCTTTATGCCGTTTCTCACTCTTTTTGGATCTAATCGAATCAGCAGTTTTCCACTCTCTCCCCTGTTTTTGGTGGGGAATTTTCCCCTCTGACACCCAAGACAAAACTCAATTTTGGGACACTGCTACAGGAGCCATGGACGGGGCAGCGTATTTATATTCCCCGGGTCTGATTCATAGCTCGACAGAGAGTGATGACACTATCGATTTTCGTAAGGTGTTTAAATACGTTTGCTGATTTGGTCATAACCAATGTGAAAAAAAAACGAAGCGAGCTTCTGATTGCAGCTCTGCTGCAAATACATGAACACAGGGCTAGTCAGGCCTAATGGATATTGCTACTCAGATTCAACAACGTTGAAATCAAGGCAATGCTATCAAAACGCGACTCAGCACGTCCAACAAGCACACATCACTTACTCAATAATTTCATTCACGTAAATCCAATCAGTCAAATAGTTGGCTTGGAGCATTGATGGTTTCAACCCTTTGCCATTCAACATTAATGAACAAATATATGGCTCACCACCACCTATTGCAATGTCCATAATACTGATTGGTGCTCGGAGCTGGCCGACTGCCGGTTAATATACGACACCCCTCCGCAGCGTTTGATTAATTCAGCTTAGTCAATGCGCGGCCGTGGATCAGCGAGCGCTCGGCGAAGTCTGTCCGCTGCAGCAGGCGATTACTGAACACACCCCCGGGACGCACACGCACAGGGTCTACGTACTCGTGCAATGAGGATCCCGCAGCCGGCGGTGTAGGTACTAGGTAAGATGAAAAGGTAAAGAAGTTGGCAGCGATTTCCCGAAACTGGAAAGGTCACTACACTATCTTAGTCCTTTGAGATGACTTACTGGATTTGGTATGGCGCACGCTTAAATTTAAAGCTGCGTGGATATCGTAAAAGTTCTTGAAAGTTCTCCCCAGATAAAACTTTGCCTAAATGAAACATTCCATGAACAGAGTCGAAATACGCACAACTATCGCATTAAGTGACGGAAATGTACCGATGATTTTCATACGTTCAGATCATTTGATGACAAGTAAAAGGAATCGGCTAAGCCACAGACTTCTCTATATATAGAGAAGTCTGTGGCTAAGCAGTTGATAATTTCATGCATTTTAAAGTTATATTGATTGGTTGACCTATTCATGAAACACAAACCATGGCAACAACAGGGATCTTCCACCAGTGACGTCACGGTATGTCCACCAGTGACGTCATCACTCACCGTGAGCACCGGCGTACCGCTGGGCTTATTCTCCTCCACCTCGGGACGGTAGTTCTCGCAGTCAGGGAACATCGGACGATTGTTGTTGACGTCTGCGAACACAGGACAAAGAAACGTGCTGGAAATCGGTGCGGTTATGTGGGTCTGGTTAAATGGGGCGCTTTTAAAGCAAGCACGTATGCCTAGTGCTTAAAGCGTCATCGAAGACTGGTATAGCCAATTTGGCAGATCTTCCCTTGTAAACAATAAATTGCCTTTTCCACAAGCGTGAAGCTCCGATGTGGAAATGCGAAAGAAGATAAAAGAAAATACATTAAAAATTGTTTGCATAAGTGCAAAGCATTCATTAGCTAGGGATAAACAAAAGTGTTATCAGAATATTTGATTCTGAACCAGTTATTCGATCTCCCCTGACAACATTTTCCGGGAATAGTACCTTCTTTTCATGACATCCGTACCATACAACTTGCACACAACTCGATCTGAACCGCTGGCAGGTTAGCCCCTACTGAATGACGATCAATAGCATCCAATCAGAACCTGTATCAGAGCGTAGCTGTGCGCTATAGCCGTCCTGTCCCTCGGGACCCAATCATTCTGCATCAACCACTGTCGCACGTGCGCCTAACTCGCCGCTGCCAGCCGCGGTCCTGGTCTAGCCCGCACTCGGCACATAGAAGTTAATCAACACGGCACAGTTCTCCCCCGTCCACGTGCAACATCAGCTTTTATATCTTCTGTCGTAAAGACACGATGCGCTATTAGCTGCGCTCTATAGTAACTCTACTGGGAGCTGGCCTGCCTCTTCCTTATTCCGCTGCTCTCTGAAAGGGGTGACTGACATTAGCTCAGTCATATCTGCGTCCAAAGCTCGGTCGGATCATACGCGTCCAAAGCTGAGTCGGGAGGCAGGGGCCACTGACGCTGGACAAAAGTCCCGCGGGCACAGACCCTCATCAGAGCGACAGCTGCCCCCGCGGAGGACCAGTGGAAACGACACAAAGGATAGCAACAGGTGAGCCATAAGTGCGCGGTCTCTCTAGCTAGCGCCAGCGGATGGAAGAAAATGACTTATACCCAAAGCCGAGATGGGAGAATTATTTCGCAAATTTCACTTGAGAACCACGATGAGGATTGAGTAATCAGCGCGACTACGATTCACCATTCTCTACCTCGTTTTCCCTAGCACAACAAAATACTAATATTGAATATCTACCATAAAACTAATCGAAGAACGTCTATCTTTCGACGAGTCCTATTGATCTAGCCTGATAGGATATTGAACATCTTCCAACACCGGCTGCTCTTTTCGCACCACCACTGTTTCCACTGTCCACAATGAAGCCATCATCTACGATGCCGCCGCTGCCGCCGAGCGAGCGACATGCCAACGCCAGCTGTCTTATTTGGTGGGGAGGAGGGTTAGTGGATTTGTTGGCGATGGCCCGCTGCTACTACAGTGGCTATACCATCACAGCAGCGCAGTTGTGGACGGTGGGCGGTGGGCGGTAGGCGGTGGACGTTGGAAGGTGGATGGTGGACGGTGGACAGTGAACGGTGGATGACGGGCGGTAGACGGTGGACGGCGGTCGACGAACGGTGGACGTTGGGCGGCTGACGGCGGGCAGAGGTCGGATAGCGGACACAGACCACGGACTATGTGCAATGCAAAGCTGGGGACGGGTATAGTATCCCTAGTGGAACATCCCAGATTATCTCTCCTGTGAAAGGATGCGACTGAGCCGGCTGGACCAGAGCGGATCAGCAGGATCAGGTGGATCAACAGGATCACCGGTATCCAGATGGAACCAGGACCAAAATCAGCCGGCGTGACAGCGGAATGGGTGCGTGAAAATCCGGCGAGGGGGATCAGAGGAGGGTCATCAGCGGCGGGGATCCCCAGGAGAGGGGAAACCCGGGGGAAGACCGCACTGGGAGGCAGAAGATAATACCCCCGGATCGAGGCTGAAAGAGGTGTAAGTTGAGACACCGTCACCCAAAACACAGAACGAAATAAGCCTGGTATCGAGCGTTCAGGGAGAGAGGATTCCTCTGTCGGATGCAGACTTCGCTTACAAAATTAATGAGGCTGCCATTTGTAAAATGGAAAATAGGAACTTCTTTAGCAGCTGCTGAAACCAGTGTTGAGTGATAAATATTGCTCGTTTCGCACAATATGACTGCATAAAAAAGGAACAATATCTGCAATGGCGTCGGGTACAATGAAGCATAATTTGTTGCTGCGACCTGACCTTTCTATTGGACCGCGTAATCTAATTTCTCCGAAGAATTATGTGACTTCAGTCCGGCATGACCCGAAATTGGAACATTACCGCAGATCCCCGAATAATGCACAGAGGGAAAAGGGCGTAATCATATGGAAAGAGCTTATAAGATAAAACCAAACTAAATGAAAGGGTTATACGAATACCACAAATATTGTACAGTGTTAACTGCTTTACCTAGAATGTCCAAATCTGATATTTCAAAGAGGACTTCATCTGTACAGGTATTAAGGGCTGATCACCAAACATACATAGTCTTGCAATACCTACGCAATGTAAACAGACTACCTAATCATTAGGTTGCCGCTCTCTCACCACTCACCTATGATGTGCACGTGCACAGCGGCGGTGTCGTTCTGGTTGTGCGTGTCCCGTGCGATGACCAGGAACGAGTAGTCCTCCTCGGTGAACTGAAACGGCCGCGTCACCAGACGGATGACGCCCGTCTGGCGGTTGATGGTGAACTGAAACACACCGAGGGGAGCCCTGGTGAACTGAACTACCAAACATTCTAATGAATACAGTGCAATACACCGCGATTTCACATGGTGTGGTGTCTGCTGAGATAAAACACACTCCGGGCATGAGTGAACTGGAATACAAATCTTAAGAACTTTGGCGAACTGAAACAAACTACGGACGGTATACACAATTGGTCATAGAAGACAAATGCCCAACTTAGCTGCTAGTACCTATTTACGATCCGATCCAAGACGTTTTGATTTCTGAACTGATATGCATATGTAAACACGTCACACCAGCCTTCCTAACGAACGTTCCATCCAATTATTCTGTAACAACGGCACTCAAAATGCGTTATCCGTCGCCCAATTCCAAGGCACGCGTGCCTCCGCGTACCATCTCCCTCTGGGACAGAGGACACACGGCAGGACAGGGGCGGCGGAGTGGGCGTATGTTGGGACAGGGGGAGGGGGAGGCGGGCGCCAGACTAGGCCCAGTCCGGTCCCAATTAAGTACGACTCGCCTGGGACTGCCGACGTCCCCGAACAATCGCGATATCACCTCGATACACGTCTGTCTGACCGTCTGCTCGACACGTCTGCATCTGTCGATTGGCAGGGGCGGACCGGCGCCGGAAAACACCCCAGGGCGTCCAGCGTCCACCACACCCTCGCCCGGCGCTCACTGAAAGAAGTTGGCCCGGCCGACCCTGTTTTCGACAGGCCAGGTGCGGCCGGGTCGCGTGGCTCACGCTCGAAAACATTCCTGAGTTAAACGCGGCGGAAGATAAAAACGACCAAGTAAATAACGGTATTTTCCCATTAGCCTATCGGCGGGAAAATGAATTTCTCCGGTAGGACCAAACGGTAAACTATAGCCGCGTCCTTCGTATATCTAAAATAAACGGCCCAAGTGGCATTCAGGTATCCACACACCATCGACGCTAAAGCATAAACAAACGGTACCGGGCGCGCTAAACGGTCGTTTCTGAAGGACCAATAACGACAGGACAGCGCCTTCCGCAAGGTCAAAAACGGAGAGGCAAATATAGCGCTTCGCTGTCGCATTTGTTAAGCTGTACTTCACGCCTTCACCTTTGCAATCGTTCACCTATCTGCTCTGTCAGCACAATGTGATAGCACTGCCAGCACTGTCAAAGTGACAGCAATTTCACTAAAGTATACCCGATGGGAGGCGGTTTTATTATGTATTATGACTCGCTCTATGACGTCTATGTCGGTATAGCATGTAGCAATTACGACACATGAACCATGCGGCATTTGTCAACGGAATAATGAGGATACCCAGACCTACTCGTATATGCAATTGCACAGCCCGAAAGAAAAAGCTGTTGAACTGCTGAGAAGACATAGTGAGCAGAGGTCTTCAGAAAGACAATTCAGCAATGTATTTCCATCCATCTACTTTTAAGTCATTCTACAGAATACCATTCTGACTTTCAGCGACAATAGATTGACGATGTTATCGAATCAGCCGAAACTCTCAGTCCTTTTATTCCTCCTGATGGCATAGGTAACTTTTTCAAACAGAGAACTGGAGGTCGTCTGCGTCGGCGAGTCGCTGATAGAATGGATCTGATTATATAGGCCGTAGAGTGCAGCCATTAGCGGAGGCATTAGCGATCGACGCCGGCCGCAGTGGTCTGAAATTTGCCGCGGACATCGGGCGCCGGGTCAATCAGGTCGGTCGGCTGACGGTGGCTCTCAAACATCTGCATAATGGTACTGCTGCAGACATTTCGGCAGGAGGATTTAGACAAAGGTCGCCGGAATCGCAAGAGTAGATGACATTACTAGGATTGTAATACAAAGGATCATCATAACGGATTGATGTAGAATCCAAAAGTCATTCACTCCCTTCCCCACCTCAGCCCACCCTTCCTTATCGCCATGAAGTGGAAATGGCATCATAAACATTGCCTTGGCTGCAATAAAACATATATCCGCCCACGAGCGTGCGTGGAGATGCTCTAGCGTTGTGGCTACCTCCACTCCTCGCCTGGCGTTCTCCCCTTCCCTCTCCGTCTTCCTCTCTGCTCCACACGAGGTCTGTTACCTTGCCGGCGGCGCGGCGCGGCAGAGCTATATTATCACGGACGCCCTAATTGCACCTAAACACTGTCATTGTGGACGGTTTGTGGCCCGGCCGCCACCCGGGGCTGGCCCAGAGATGGACAAAGATGGGTCCACTGACACGCAACCGAGAGATGAGAGGCCGGACCAGGCCAGACGGAGATACATCAGCGCGCTTTGGTCCTCACCAAGTAACCAGTATGACCATGCAACTATGGGGAGAGTTAAGTGCAAGTAATTTACATTAATTCAAAAATACCTTTCCTTAAATATTAAAATCTGTCACTATAGCAACAATCATAACAGTGACCTGTCGTAATTCTCCATATCCGTATCATATCTCCATTGGAATAATACAGATAGCGCCGCACGTCATAGCAAACGACACCTACATTTCTTCACGGATCCTGAAAGCATGATTGAGTATCATTGCATTCGCGTGCTCCCAGCGCCTCTCTTCTGTGAGCTAAGGACGGCCGTTTGCGCGGGCCTGGACAACAAACCGGACAGCTCTGGTGTCGGTCTGATTCATGACCTTCAAACAGCCTGAGGCGGCGTTCTGGAGGTCGCTACGACCGGTCACTACGAGCGCTTGTCTGGACGGAATGGCCCCCGTAAATTCCGGCGTAAATTGAACTGAAGACTTGAGCCGCGTGCCATGCGGTGCGAGCACGACGTGAGGAATGGGACCGATGCCAATCAGAGGGTCATTGAGTGGTCAGGGGGCGGTGGTCAGTGTCAGTGGTTTCTGGTTGCTGGTTGGTGGTCAGTGTTCAGTGGTCAGTATTCAGTGGTCAGTGGGCTAGTGGTCAGTCAGTGGTTACTGGTCAGTGGTCAGTGGACAGGGGCCTATGGTCAACAGTCAGAGTCCAATATCAGTTGTCAGTGGTCATTCACAATGGCTGGAGGGCAGTGACAAGTTGTCCGTCGCCATTTATCTTTGATGGTTAGGTCAATGATGAAAAATGTGACTATACGTGCCGAGAGTACGTTGCCTATCGACTGACAAGCATTTGCTTTCAATTGGTCATAGAGCCTGTGAGTTAGCGTTTACAGGGACACGATTTGCCACTTACTTAGGTATTGCAAATTTCACCAAAATCTGATGGCGGAAGCAAAAATGTCAACATAAATGTCAACAACGTTCGGTAAAATACAGCATGTTGATATTTTTCCCTAAGCACACCAAGTGCCATTTCCCTACAAATGTCATCGCTGACTAGGAAATTGCATGGCAAAGGTTGGTTCTAATTTACAAGACGCAACCGCTGAAACTGTAAGCGGTGTCCGTTAAATGTCCCCTTGATTATTTAGGCTGCTCATTTAAGCTTCGTCAGTTGCATCTATTGTGAACTTTCCACAAACAACTTAAGAATACAGGCAGAATCTAGGCACACACTACAGCCCACCTTGCATGTGTATTGTGTAAATTAACATTTCATTGAATCCCATCTCCCCCACAAGCACGACATAGCAGCTCAGAACCCCTGACACCAACCAGTATCATGGCGGCAAAAATCCGTTGGATGTATCACAGCTCTACTGATCTAATGTCGGCCGGTATAAAAAAACCTATAGATAACCTGATGCCCGGTATCATAACGCTTCATATCCCACGTCTGCGGTATCACGCTGTTTAAAATCTCCGTCGCCTGTATCACGGCAGAATAATCCCTCTGAGCCCTGTCGCTCGGTATCACAGCTTTGCAGATCCCCTACGGCGTGTGCCGAGTAACAATCTGTAAAAGTTGGCCCTCGCTACAGTCCCCCGAGGCCAACTGCTCACGGAATTCGTTCGCAAGTCAGATCCCTAATTACCAGAGTCCCGGGCAGCGCCCAGCCCGTCCGCACAACTTCACCGGCCACCTAACCCCATCCGGTGCTCTGTCTCTCCCACCCTCTCCCCTCTCATCTCTCTCCCCCATGCTCTCCCGTGCTCACTAACTCACCATTTCGAACTCCTCGACGTCCGGCGCGCCCGGCTCCGGTCGGATGAAGTAGCTGATGACGTCAGTATCGCGATCCTGCGCCGCCACAGCGCGCACCAGCGAGCCTGCGGGCACGGGGCAGGTCAGGTGAGGTCAGGTTAGGTCACAACAGGGTCATTAACCACTGCGCGCTCCAGTGACCCTAGGGAGACAGGTCAGGTCAGGGTTTTACGCCACTGGGCACACCAGCGAGTCTGGGGCAGGTTAGGTCAGGTCAGGGCAATACACCCCTGCTCACACCAGCGATGCCATGTCGAGGTAGAAAAAAAAAACTAGTGAAAATAAAGGGCGCATACCTACCTTACACAATTACTCATGACAGTGAGCCTCTTAGAGTAGAGCCATGTCGTCAAATAAGGTCATAACGGGTCAGGTAACGGGAGGGGAATGACCTCTAGTGACGTCTTTTCCAGGTAACGCCAAAGCCATGTTATAGTAAGTAACATGATAATCTGTACTCGCTGGTAATCGCAGAGCACTTCAGACTTTCATTGATATTGATCACCCACATCAACTCGGGAAAGGTCGGACCTTGCTCATTCTGGAAAGATCACTTATCACGCCAAATGCACAGCGATTTATCGGCGAATTCAACTAAGTTCAGACTGAGGCTCGTGGCATTTCCAGAGAGAAGGTCAGGAGAGTGACCTACTAGAGTCGTGGGAAATGTATTTGTATTAAAATGGGCTCAGTCATGAAGCCAGCACCTGTAATGTGTTCATTTCAGTTCAGAACTTTGTTACAATCACAGAGAATAGACTTTCACAATGCATTTCAACACTTAAAAATGTACCTACATGAATAAAATGTTCAAACAAATCGATGCTGTCGTTTTAGCACCTTTATGGACTTCACGGCACCGCCGTCGGATCCAGTCCAAAGACTGCCGTCACTCCCCTTCGAGGCGGGTCCATGCTCCTCGCCAGTGGGCCGCGGCCGTTCTGAACCGTTCATCACTGCCGGCCTGGCCGCTGTCGGGACCGCTTTCGCGATTGGACACAGGCACGCTAGCGAGAATGCGACAAAAGTTTTATGATAAGGGTGCCGCCTAGAGGCCAGCGTCCAATACCGGTTTAACTCTGACAGTTGCTTTTATTGTTAGAACGATGGCCATGCCGTTTGCGGGTCGTATGCTTTGTTCGAAGGGCCGGCCAAATGACGCTTCGCTCATCTTCATGAGAAGTGGGTACGATAAGTCAGGGCGAGACACATTATCTGGACAGTGGCACTCGGAAATGAATCAAACGCGACGCTAAAACTGTAAACAAATGGTTGGAGACGATTAATATTACAGAAATATCGCCCTGTCCGGCAGCTAAGGTGGCGGCAACATGACACAGGGAAATTAATGATGGTTCAGTGCGAAGGAATTGTGTTTGCCAGGGATCTAAATGTGTTTGAACCTAATTAGGACCAGCAAAGCAGGCAATGGGCACTGAAGCCACCTGTGGTAAACCGACAATGAACAGCATTGGACATTGAGCAGCTTAAATAAGAACAGGCGCCTAGTTTATGCCAGGACAATTAACATTCTAAGCACATATGAAGTAAGCTCGGCTCAACACCATTGACACGAACGATAGCAAAGAAGCAATGTCAAAGCAAAATATCGATTTTTTCGAAAAAAGCTATCATACCGAACGAAACAGTGCAGATGTAAGTTGGACTTATGTTTGCCCTAAACTATTCCTCTCTTCTAATAAATAAATCCGCAGAGCTGTTGCTCACCTCCATTGGCGTTTTCGTAGACATTGGCCGCGTACGCCGGGTCGGAGAACTTGGGCGGCTGGTTGGCGCTGACCAGAACGGTCGCAGAGGCCGCACGATGGCTGTGCTCTGCAACACGTGGCACACAGGTCACGAGCTGCGAGCGATTGGCGCAGTGGAGTTTAAATGAAACATAAACGTCAAGGAGAGCATACATATTACAAGTTATATTCAGAAGACTAAAACAGGATGCATTGCATACGAGCACGCCTCAGGATACGAACGGTCTCAACCTGCAATGTGTTTCGTTTCAAGGTTGAGAATCATATTACAATATCAAAACATATATAAATATTAGCAGTGCCAAGTCATCTCGTAACAGCTTATAAAGCAGCAATGACCTCCGTGATCCACGGTTCGTGATCGTCCGCGAACGTCCGTGACCCGTGACCTGAGCCGCGTCTCAACTGACCTGGGTTGACGGCGAGTACGGTGAAGTTGAGCAGGCCGCCCTGCATCAGCTGACGCCCGTTGGTGTTGGTGTACACATTGCCGTCGTCATCAATCCGAAACAGCCGCGGGTTGTCCACGCTGTACCGAATGTTGGCAGGACCGGTCGCCACCACCTGGCGGCAGAAGCGAGAAACAGTGGTGAGATTCGGGGCCGCTAGGGGTAACGAGACATCACGGCAGGAGCATGTTATGGATCTGGCCAAGGCCCTAAAAAGTAAAAACAGACTCGACTGTCTGAGACTACGAATGAAAAGAGATCCTAGGCCTTGGCATAAACAACACAGCTGGCAGCATCATAGCATGTGTTGAGACTTGAGCTATACCTCATAGTAGCAGAAGAGGCAGTAAACAAAATTTATTATCTTATTTTGGGAATTTCCTTCAGCAATATGCAGCTAGATATGGTGTATGGTGTATTTATTGTGAAGTAATGTCGGATACACCATGATAACACAATATTTACTGGACAGATCGCGCGACTTATCTAAATAAAGAAAATAAAGATGCTTAATAAAGGCTTATGGGCAAGACCTCGCCCCTGCAAACCCCGCTTTGTCTGCATGACAAGGAAGCGATTCTAGTTATTCGTCACAGGCCGTAATCAAGGGATGAAACGAGGCGGGACGCCGAGCACTTCCCAACGCATCTGACGGGACGTTTGCACCCAGCAAACCCTCAAATACATGACGTCATGCAGCTGGGCACTAGCAGGCCAGCTTCCGTATGGCTTCCATATGAAAGCAGTGTGCCCAGGGCATGATGAATAACGACCTCCTCGCATAACGGGAGGTGTGAGCTCATCTCTGCCGGCGCCGGATGAAAGGATCCCGTGCCGCGGCCATTCCAGCCGCCCAGTGGGTTGTCCAGGGCTGCGTAAAAAGGCCACCCGATGGCCGGCATTTCTAATGGATGACGGCGCCGAAATGGGCACATCACCGCCACTGAGTTGGTGGTGATCTGTCAGATGCGCTACGACTGGTGACAGTGGTGATACGAGGTCATCACCGACTGGTGATGGTGACGGGGAGGTCACTGCAGCTGGTGAAGATGATTATCTCCCACGTTACACCGAAATGCGCTTTAACCAACACCACACATGACATCTGGTCGTCATAAGAACAGCTGGAACGCATTTGCCACGGGCCGGCTTCCAGACTATGCACATCAATGTGACGCATCAGTCAAGACGCGGCCAAGAAAGCTTTCTCGTGCCACGCCTGGTTCCAGTTAACTTCCCCCCGCTCATCCGAGTTGCCTGGACCTAAATCTGGCTCTGCAGAGGGAATGAAGGCTCATCCCCTCTACCATGTGTTGCAAGGTCAGACACCCAGAAACCCAGACAGCCAGACAGCTGACAGCAGACAGCAGACAGCTCGTCCGGGCGTTAGGTGCAGATTTTCCCCCTGCAGCGCAGAAGGGAGGGGAGGGCGATGTACGGTGAAGGTGGTCGTCATTTATCGTGAGTCGTGACTGTGAGCGACCCGGGGACCGCCCAACGGCCTTCAAGGCGAGGGAGGGAGAAAGAGGCGCAGAGAGGGTAGGAGCTGGAAGAATTATTCAGTTAGTGTGCGGCACACCCATCAACCTAATCGTCCCTTGCTTGAACAGTTGGTGCCGACACATTTAACATTGTAAACTTTTTCTACTATCATGGGCAGATTGAAAAAATAAGTGCGCAAAAACACTATGATTGAGCATCGCATTCATTAAACCGTCCAGCAAAATGTGCCTAAACTGCATCATGTTAGATCATTTTACAGCAGTGGCAATTGACACCAAAGGAATCTTGTTTTGCCAGCTGTTTTCGGCACATTTGAGAGCTGCCGTCAGTCCAGCCGAAGGACTTATTTCACCCGCTGCCTCTCTGCCTGCAGCCGTCTCCTCCCCCCCCCCCTCCGCCCTCCCGCTGCACCGGTCAGTGTCAAGGCGGACCGCTCTCGCCTCTCGGGCGTGATAGAGTATCAATAGGCCGGCCGAGAGGTGCAGCTCGGGTCATGGGGGACCCGGCGGCAGCACCCCGTCACGGTTCAGTACCAGCCGGGCAGACTGCCAACCGTGCAGCGGCCGGTTCCCCGCATATGGAGACACTCAGCCACCGTGCAACTGTGCAGTAGCGGCCGGTCCCTGTTCTTTCTCTTTCATGCATGTATTTGCTGTTTCCCTTTCATTTACTACTACTTGCAGTTGGGCAGTTAGCCAAGAGACATTGTCAATGGTCTCGGCAGTTGAAGCAAAACCAAGAAGAAATGAATGCGTTTTGATGCACAAAATATCGAGGAAAACAAACCTTGGGATGGGTCGGGGACAAAAATAAGCTAGATCACCTGTGCCACTTCAGGCGCCCTATCCCTAAACCTGTCACCTCCACCGATCCTTACTAACCCTGCCCCACCCCTAGCCCCTTGATCGCTCCATAGCACTGCCATGGGCTCTCCCGCCGCGCCGGCCGCCACGAGCCAGCACCCTTCAGAGGTCGTCTACCACCGAGGTGAGCCCTTCACGAGTCGCTGCCACCCCCAGCGGCGCCGGGCGACGCCAATTTAATGCAGCCGGTAATTTATCCACCGAATCCATTTGCGCCCAACCGCACAGTGTGTGTAAATCGCCTCGACGACGGCGAAAACAGCCGCCGAGACGGCCGCTCCGCAATCGGCCGCGCCGCACAGTGTGCCTGTGGCCGTTGTAAATTGGCCAAACATTGTGACGGCTGTCGGGCGGCGCGCCGCGCCCGAAATCGGCGAGTAATTTGCCGCTCTGCCATCGGAGCGGTGACAAAAACACCTGTAAAAAGTCATCAGTGTGTGCCGCGACGGCGTCGGCAGCGTCGACGCACAAACACGACCGTCGTAACACCGATACGGCCGGCGACGCATGTAAACGACGCGCCGGGAGTGTCGTCAACGACGACCCGCGCCGTTAACGTCGGCGCTGCGTCAGCGCTGTCGGCCCCTTACCGGAGGCACAGGTATATCCATTATACGCAATAGCGCAAACGTTGAGCTTCGATGAACAAGTTGAAACATTCGCGCTGCTGTTTGACGCTGAAACTTTGACACCTTTGCTGTTGGACGTCGAAAACTAAGCGGCAAGCAGTTGGCATATCACCACCCGAATGACATTTCTGGGGAAATTATAGATAATGAAATAAAAATGCCTCATAAAGCCCACTGAATAGCCAGCTGAAGGTCAGCTGTAGTGGGGAGTGAAACGACGATGTCTTTATTAAATGTCAGACACTGGTTCTCAATTATTTGACGCCTTATTGAGGTCAAACGGCTCATTACAGAGCAGTGAGCACGACAGCAAAGACAAATAAATACAAGAAAAATAGACCATATACTTAGTGTCATAGTGGTCGTAATGGTCGACAACAATTTTCGTCACTATCAGTGGTAGATGACCAGTACAATTATTTCATCAGCCAGCAGCTTATGACGGCCGATCGGTGTTCTGGAGAAACTGCATCACGCCAATCGTCTTTGCCGTCAGTAAAATGGTCCGTAATTGGTCACTGATCACCCGCAAGTGACCTGCCGAAACCGGTCAGGGCAATTTATGCCAACCAGGTCAGCCTTTCCCTACCAAACTTACACTGTTGCATTGCTAAAATTAGGTTCGTTTCGCATGCATCGTTTAAATCCATTAACTGCTATACGCGGACACCTTGGGCCTATGAAGCGAAACGACAGCTGAAAAGGCTCGCTTTAGCACAGCCCGGAGGTCACGCAAGATCGACCAGTCTATGGGGACGTTAAAGGGTCAAAGGTCAGCGCGGGGTCAGGGGAAAGTTGATATGATCAGGGGGTCGAGGTCGACCCCGATCATCTGGCCAGCACGGTGATGAGAGACAGCTTTCAATGAGCAGTGAGTGCATTGCATGTGATTTGCAAGAAGCAACAAATGCATTTAGTGATATCTCGTTGGGCGGATCGCTACCATTAAGGCATTTAGGGGCTACTTCTTTCGCTGAGGCACATAAAGCGCGCTCTCTATTGAGTACAAAGCTTGCAGTTCCCTGGATACACTTCACACAGAGGTGACAGAACCAAACGCACGTATTTCGTCCCCAATCCATACTTAGTGAGCGCTGAGAGTAAAGTAGGCCTTTGGGCAAATACTGAGATTTTGAGTCGGCGACAAATGCATTTTCAATGTTCGTGTCTCATGTTTTATGCATTCCGCATCAGCCCAGTCGAGCAGGCAAACAGCGCCGAGGACTAAATTGTGCGACACTGGCATGCACCAACTGAGTCGGCGGACTGGGAGACGAAAAAATGACTCACAATGGATGACATTATTATGTAGGGGAGAGTGGGGAAAGATGCCCAGGGTTTTACTATGTCATATATTATTCGAAAATGACGATCGGAAAGCAATAACTTGTAGTTTCAACGGAAGCCGACAACATTTTTCTCCAAAAATACCACACTTTCGTGCTTGAAATATGATAACTTTTTTTGCTATTAAGCATTTTCCTGAAGAAGTGAAAGGGGGCATCTTACCCCACAGGGTGGGAAAGACGCCCCCTGGCGTTGGGTAAGATGCCCCCTGCACTATAAGTGACATAAATGGGCACGTGAATCGCCTGAACGAATCAGTAGTCCCTTCGGGCCTGCAGTAGACACCAAACGTCATCATAAGGGCCCTCAAAAGTAGTCGTAAGGGGCTTCAGAGGTCAACGTGAGGGCCATCATAGTCCAGCGCGGCCAAACAAGCCTCCGTGGTGGTATTCGGAGACCACTGTGGGGCCCTTATAGGTCTTCATGATGCTTGAGGGCCCTCGAGCCCATCGTGGGGACCTCAGATGCCAGCGCGGCCCGTGGAGCCAACGTGGGAGCCCTCAAAGGATGTCGTGAGGGGTCCTGGAGGGGTCCTAATGTGGCTCACAGAGGCCGTCGTAAGGGCTCTCAGAGTCAGATGCCGCCCAAAAAGTCGCTGTGTGGGCCGAGAGACCGGCATGGGGAGCACCCGACCGTACTGGACTCTCAATAGTCCCAGATCGGCTTTTGTCTCTCATCACAGGTATGTAATAAATGATTTGACGGGCTGCTTGAAGGACAGCCTACGGATTTAGGGGGGCGTCTTTCCCCATCAGGACAGGGAGCATCTTACC